ATATTGCAGGGAGGTGAGCAAAAAAGCATCAGACAAATCAAACCGCAATCAAATCTGGGAAAAATTGCTGAAGAAATATCATTTCTAATGCATGGTATCTTCAGGAGTAGGCACAATTTATATCCATGGACTCCTCACCACAAAACTTTACCAGAATGTCATATTACCAAAGCCAGTATAAAGTTCATACCATGAGAGAGTCATAGTAGCAGTCGGCAGAGGGCTCAATATCAAAGTAGTTGAAGGTGAGTTGGATCTTGTAACCAGGAGGAACTTCCAGGTCCCACTGTGTGTGGTTATCAGCTGGATAGGGATCAGGATACAGTGGAGACTGAACTTGCCCATACATCACATCCTCACAATCACACACACTCAGAGTCACCCACAACAGACTAGAGAGAGAGAGAGAGAGAGAGAGAGAGAGAGAGAGAGAGAGAGAGAGAGAGAGAGGGAGAGAGAGAGAGAGAGAGAGAGAGAGGGATTACCCTGAGGCAACATACATTTTACAATAATTATCTGGCTTTTCTGTCACACAGAGGCTAAAAATGATTGTCTTATTTTATTTTACTTGTAAAAAAACAAAATCTTCCTCTTGAAGTCATTGTGGCGCAACCATTTAAGTACTGGTCCTATCATTAGAAGCATAAGACTGCAAGTTTAATTACCGGTGATGCCACAGCCATCTGTGGCCAGGAGTCTAAGAGAGCATAATTGGTCTTGCTATTGGTCTCGCCCTCCCCCATTACCCAGCATGATGCTAGCCATTGCTCTAAGGCAACATAATTGGCAGTTAGTGTTCTTCTCCAAGCATGTTGAGCTGTTGTAAAGATGCAGTGGCTTTGCATGTCTCTGAGGAAGCAGGTGCTAGCCTTCACCCTCCCAGCTTAGTAGCATTGTGTGCTAGGGGGAGACCTAGCTAGTGGGTGGAATTGGCAATGACTAAATTGGGGATAAAATTGGTTAAAAACTGGATTGTATTGTTCATCCATCCAAGCTACCCTTCACACACCTACATTTAGATACATAGAAAGACACATGGACACATTCAGACACATAGAAAGATTTTCCTTATTTTTAGCCTAGTCTTTAGCCTAAGTAATAACAATTATGCAGTAATACATTATGCAACAACCATGAAAAAGTTTTTTTTTTCTTTTTTGGCCAACTTTACGTACTCTGGACATTAACTCATGCTGCTTCATGAGGAACCACCTGGGATACTTTTCCAGCAGTTCTACATATGCTGAGACCTTGATGATGGTTGAAAACTACTGGGTGGGATTTTAAAAAGAAAATAATACTTTCATATTTGTATTTTGGAAATAAATCCATACATAGGCATGGTCTACACTATCTATGTTTACTTAGGTGACAACTTCAGCAAAAGCAAGTAGATCAAAATGTTTTTAAAATGCCAGGAATGTGTAAAGCTGCATTAATACAAAGGGGAGCTACTTTAAAGAATGTAAAATATAAGATACAAATACATGAATGAAAATGTAAACTTTTGATTTTCTTGATTTTGGTCACTGTATGATATCCCATAGCTGTGATGTCTGCTTGGCTGTTGTGCAGAAAACAGTAATATAGTTTGATACTGTGATATATGAATGTGAAAGTGTTCATTTCTTATGCAGCTGCTCTGAGTTAACAGTCGTGTGCGCTGGGTTTTCATCTTTACAGTGCATTTAATGACGACTGTGTGCACTGTATTACTCAATTCCAAACTATACATGAGAGCTGTGAACCACATCAATGTTTTAAACCATAGAAAAATCCTGAGTCATTCGGCTCTATTCAGCCTAGAAATACTGCAGTCAGTCTGCTGACCCAGAAAGTGGATGTTAAACCTTTGCACACCATGCAAAAAGTTGTAGCCTGTATTAAAAACAATAACTGCACGCGTTTGGATTAAAAGTAATGATCTGTGGTATTTGATATTTGATACTGAGACTAAGAGCATGAATTACATAATTTACCCCTCCCCAAACAAACAGCACAACAGAAACAAGCCTCAACTCTGCTGGACTAAACTGCTGTCAAACCGGATTCATCTCCTTCTCTAAACTCAAGTCTAAACCCACAATATTACACTACTTTGGGGCCCAGAATAAGCATTTTGAGAATTCAGTTAGAAAAAAGAGCCACTTACAGGAGTGAGAAAGTGCTGCTGCTGATCACTGGCTCCATCATAAACTGTAGGATTTTTCTTTATGCTCTCTGCAGTCAAATGGATCCCAAATGAGTACATCACGTCCTCTCTAAGTTTCACTTCCTCAGCCTGCAGAAGCCCTGGTGCTGCTTCATTCCTATATTGTTCTTAACTGGACTTAACTAGACTGATTAAAGTGCACTGTAGGTGTTAACTGAAGGTGTTATTGAAGGTGGATGTTGTTGTTTGCCTAAAAAAAATATGGATATCTGAATCTAAAAGAGAGGTAAGGTCAGCACTGCGGGGCTGGTGGACACTTCCATCATGGAGAATAGCGAGTGCATACGAGCATCATTAACCTTTAGCGCTTTCCAACAGATCCAATCCAGGGTTCCTCACCGCTCTCATTAGTCTTTAGGGACTTTGAGTCCCATTGAGATATCAAGTGCTGAGATAGATAACTCCCTGGTTAAAATGTTGTGTATGGAAAATACAGACTTTGTTAATGAGGCTTCACTTTCTCTGAATTTAGCTGACATCAATGGTAAGGAAAGGCTTCTACAGCTCTGATCCTTCTAAGACGATATGGAGACTACACAGTAGTCACCATAAGTAATGCAAAAAGTAATTATTTTGAAATGATTAAGTCACTTCTGGTGCAAAATTTACAGAATTCAGATTTCCAAATCCTAAACAAATTTTAACATTTGGGAATTATTGAACTTCAAAGCAAATCTGTCAAACTTACCACAATATTAGACTTATCCTGCCCATTACTGACTGGACCAGCAGTTGTAAGTTATTCCAGTTGAGAGAAACTGTGGTGGTTTGAAATGAGGAGAGTGATAGACTGAGAGTTTAAAAGTCAGAGCAAAAACTGGATTTGTTTGATTTGGCGAAGGAACAAGGAGAATAAGTAGAAGAGTAGAGAAAGAGAGAGCATAAAAAAAACAGAGATAGAAATACATATCAGAATAAAGCATGAATGTATAGGTGACCTCAAAACACCTGCCATAGAGTCTCAGTGAAAAATCAAACTAATTGTTGGGTGAGTAATACTTGACCACTGAACACTAATAAGATGGTTCTCATCTGAAAAAAAGAATTAATTCTCCAAGTATTGGGTAAATCAGTATTTATCTGTCAATAATAGAAGTGGCAGTAAACATTAATCAAACAAAACGGGAAAAAGAGAGAAAGGGGTGCAGAGAGATACATAAACATTTCCCGTAAATCACCTTTTTTTCTTGTATGGGACTGTTTGCATAGGACAGGTCAAATTCCACACCAACAGCATTGCCTCACAGCGCACTGATCAGGTCAATGTTATTTATAAGAATAAAGCCAAAAGATTCACTGAGGTAACAAAGTAGCACTAAAGTTTGTTACTGAAGTAAAAAGAGGTAATGAGGTTAGGAGTATTCTGAAAGACAACAGATAAAAATGAAAAAACTGTTCTTTATAAGTAACAACAAAACAATGGTAATATATTGTTGCTGTCAAAACAAAAGCTTGTATCTCCATTTTTGGCATTTTTAATCAATCAATCAACCAATTAAATAAAAATAATTATTTATTCAAATTTGATTAATTTATTTATATCTATTATTTATATTTCCTGCCTTCTACCCAATGATTGCTGGGATAGGCTCCAGCTCCCTCTGTGAGCCGGAAGGATAAGCGGCTTAGAAAATGTGTGTGTGTGTGTGTGTGTGTGTGTGTGTCTGTGTATTATTTATATTTATTATTTATTTCAGAATTTGTAAAGGTCGGCTACATTTTACAATAGGTAAAATTTCACGATGAATTGACCAATAGAAATGCTCTAACATTACTGGGGGTAAAATTGCTGTTCCATTAAAAGTTAAGAAGAATTTTTCTTCTCATGTAAAGTTACCATTTTGGAGATACCAGGTTTTGATGCAACTATGATGATTTACATTTCACAAGAGAACAACACAATGGAATGAGTGAGTCATTAAAATTGTACTTTCCATTGTATTTCAGCTGTTCTTCTTTTCAAAAACTATATCCAAACTTATTACAAATGGATATACAGCAGAAATTATTTCTGCTTAATTATTGTTAAAAGGCCTTTTTTTATACTGATTAGGATTTGGCTGTCTAAAGGTTCATTTGTGAAATGTGTGCGAAACAATGAAAATCATTCATTTCTGACTCAACAAGACAACATTACTTTGGTGACTACACTTTGCAGACTATGCAGTTCTGAATCTAATAATCAAAACAGATGCACGTTTTTTTTGTTTTTTTTTTTACATCACGACTGACACGTCTCTGTTAATATCATCCTGAAAACAAAACTGAATTTTTGACCTTGTTAGCTCATCTTCATGGTCATATTAAAGAGGAATTCCACAGATTTTTCAACATGTCTGTTTAATTCAACGGTTAAGATGTTAAAAAAGTCATTCAAAGTGGTTTGATGGGAAATGGTTCATTCTGGAGAAACTCTCATTTCTTTACATTGGTGGGAATCAGAACAAAATGTTTATAGCATAAATACAGCTTTTTTGTATATTATTCAAAATGATCAGTCAACCTATATGTGTCGTCTGAACTTTTTATGTTTATATGTTTTTTATGTTAATAATGAAAAAAAGTGGTACATCTGAAAAAAGTTTCCTTTGAGTACTTTTCCATACAATGCCCTGCATGTAGCTGTCCACACCACATGTATTTTAAAACTGTGTTTTAGGCCAAAAATTAAAACTAAACTAAAAAGGTTTATGCATAAAAAAATGTTTTCATTTAACCCAATCCCAAGAGGGATTCAGAGGATTTATAATGAGTGAGTATAATGAATGATTTTTTACATTCACACAAATGGAATCCTGAAAAAAAGCTTTTAATAAGTTTTAAAATGTTCTACATTTCAAGATTTTGAGAAATCACATGAATATGAGTAATTTCAATAGGTCTGTGACTGGATCTCAGATCACTTGCTGTAAAATCTCAGATTTAATCTGTGGTTACTCATGGAGGGAACATGCTGATGAAGCTGGTGTTAGTTGTTCTCCATGGTTTCTCTGATCCAGTCCAGGTAGTTCTCCACTTTGGTGTAATAGCCTTTAAAGTTTTTATCTCCACATTTAGCAGGACCCCATGACACGATACCTTTGAGTCGGTAGGGTGTTTCTGGAGACCCTCTTCCCAACAGTGGAATTACCAGTGGCCCACCACTGTCACCTTTACAGGTATCCACATCTTCATCATCTCCTCCAGCACAGAACATATTATCAGTGACCTTCAGAGTGGTGCTAAAACAAGGAACTTCTGAATATTCTTTCACAGGACCATGCTGCAAAAATCTACTCCTTAAAGGATTCTTCGATGTTCCTCCAAACCCTGAGACTGTTCCTGACTTTCCCTCCATCACCGGCCCGTTTGATTTCTCTGGCAGACACACTGGCAGGACATTGGTACTGAGTGGCACTCTGGCAGACATCTTCACTAGAGCAATGTCATTATCATAGTTTGTTTGCACTGGGCTCTCCACTTTATAGCCTGGATGAATTATGATCTTCTCAGTTTCCATTTTAACTGCATTTTGGTCTAGGCCATCAATCATTCCTCCATAGAACAGCAGTGTTTTTGTTTGCTGTCCATCCACAACAGTAGCTGCTGTAATAGCCCAGCGGTCACTAATTAGAGAGGCACCTCCTCGATTCGGTTGTTTTGTCAGAAGTTGCCAGGGAATTTGTCCCAGTTTAGCATCCTGTCCTCCAAAAACCCTTCCAGCAGAAAAGGTCTGTTTATTCATGCCACATACTGATAGAAGGATGCAGAGAACAGGAAAGAGAGAGACAAAAAGTGAGACACTTTAAGAATACCTCTTTGGGTTGTAATGCATGCACGAGGCTGGACATAAACTACACGAGAAAGACAGAGATTTAGACATGCCACATACTGATAGAAGGAGGTGGTAGAAGGGGGGAAGAATGCACTGACAGAGAGATTTATGAGGTTAAATAAATAAAGTTAGTTCCAGTGATAGGAGACTCATGGTTCTAACACACTTCTCTTTTAATCATGAACGGTTTCATTACGAGACAAATCAGTGCTACATCACAACAATAGAGAACTTCCTATGTACCAATCCTGATACTTGTTTGAGAGTTATTAGTTTTTGAGAAAAAGAGAACTTTTTAGTGGTCTTATGATGAAACATCTAAACACTGGGATAGTGTGTACCTCTACATGTTCGTTATTAAATACTGGTGAACTATAAATTCCAGACTGCATGGGGTTCATTTTTTGTGTTTAATCATGAGAATGCACCAGCCATTTATTTCACTGCAGTCTTTAATGAAAAAAATGTAACTTCATAAGCAGCCTGTATTTTTTCTGCTATGTTAATGTTAATAGCTGTTACTTTAGCGGCAATGCATTCCCTGAGTTTCAAATCACTTTTAGCAGCTCTACCAGCTTTTAATAGCTGGAAAACAGGAAAAACTTAAACCTAAACCAGTATGTTTTTGGGTACCCGTTTCCTGGCTGTAGATGAGAATGATGGAATTTTTTTACTCTAAAAAGTCTTACAGTCATGGCTAGCTGGTCTGAGGTGATACCCAGTAATGTTAGCGTGCTTTTCACTGCAGCAAAATCACACTGAAACACAGCCAAAGCATGGCAACATTTATTAATGGTTAATGAACATAAAATTAGAAGATTTGGGGTTCTGTTTGGTCTATTAGCTGATGATTTGCATCAGGTGTGTAATGAGTTGAAATAAGTCATATTATAGCACTGATAATGCTACTCTGCATTCTGGGAAGGAGCTACATTATGTAATTGTAGTAATAGTGGCCAGTGAGTGGAGATACAGTAGGTCTTAATGATAAAGTAGATTTAAGTGTAGGTATACCTGGGACACAATGTGGTGCATTCTGGGAATGATTCTGTCCCCTTTCAGATATCCAGTTACCATTAGCATCACAAGTAAAGTTAGCTGACAAAAAATAGAAAAAATAAGAACCATAACTTTCTCAGCACATTATTTATACATGGACTGACAGACACACACACACAAATCTGCACAGTGTTTACCATCTCCATCCAGCTTGTAGTACTCTGATAGACACTTGAAGCTGATGTTTTGCTTGTATGTTGTAAGTAGACTCTCCTCTGTTAGGGCTATCAGATCTGGATCTGCAATCTCAGGAATCCCACAGTCCACCACTGGAGGGGGAAACACAGAAAAAATTATATGACTGAAATCATAAACAAATGTCCAGTTTTTAACACTTCAGAAAATCTGAAAGCTTATTCATGTATTGTTTAAGGGAAGAGTAAGCATATGATATTTTTGGAATGGCATAAAGCACAATAATTATGTTCCAGAGTAAGCATTACCCAAGATGGTTTAGATAAAGGTAATGAATGGATCTGCTACACTGCAGGTTTGGCCTTAGCCACTAGGAGATCTCAATAGCTCACATGTCAATGAAAGTCAAATTATATAAGAGCTTTTGTTCATCCAGTTCATCTGCAAGTTGCAATTATGCCTAGACAGAAACAACATTTAGCTTTCTGCCTAGTTCATCATTTATGTTTAGCCTCGACAATAGGACAAAAACCCAGGAGTTAAACCAGCTACATCAGGCAGTATAATATATCAAAGCACAAAACCTTTAATCAAATAATCCAGGTGTTGTGAACATGTGCAGTGTGTGAAAGTAAAGTCTTTCGAACATAATGCCCTGGATCAATTAATTTAAAGCAGAGTAGAAACTGTCATACTAACACATGAACACATTTTGCAGTGATCTACTGTGATCAGCTACAACTCAGCTACAGCTAATTAGTTCTTCAAAAAAATATAGCACCAAAAAAAAAAACCAGACCCAATTGCTCACTTCGGGTTTGCAAGCCATTTCCCAAATTCCTATTAACAATTTTCCCTTGCTTTTCCCTTCTTTTGTTTTGTCTTATTTTATTCTTCCTCTCTACTTTTATTACCAATTTTTACTCTGCCATGCCTCAGTAACCCATCATATTGTTAACAGAATCTAATACTGAGGTCCACGAGACCCATGCTTATGAGAAAACAGATGAGCGGAAAATAAAACAATAGAGAAACACTGCACTAAACTGTACCCAAGAAGACTCCTCATCAATGTCTTGACTGGCCCTTTCTTGCTCTGGCTTGACCCAGGCACCTCCCTCTAATCACCTACAACTGTTCCAATCAAAGAGTCTTCAGGTTTCATGTTTATTTCATATCTTTTCATCCATGTACTGTATCTCCTGCATTACTGGGCTGCGTGTTTTCTGTTTTTTCTTTTTCTGTAGGGTTGAGATTTCTGGACACTTTGACAGAGTTTCTTCCTGGCAGACATTCTCAACTAAGACAATGTCATGATCAAAGCTTTTCTTTTTACCAAGGTTGTCCATATCATGATTCTATCATTATGGTACATTGTTGAATGACTAAGGTCTGCCCAATGTAACAATGTCTGACAATATGCTTTATAGCAGTGTAAAAAACTGACGTACCAATTGCCTGATAGAAGACAAAGAAGCCAAGGTGCATCTGAGATCCTTGGTTTGAGCTGTCTGTCTCAAACAACAGCCAGAGATGGTTGTCTGGAGACAAGATGGGCTTGTTGCCAGGGTGATGTGTATCTGTGGACTTCTGGCCACAGAACTTCCCCAAAACTTCACCATCAAGCAAAATCTTGTTAAGAAAAAGTTTGAGTTTGTCAGAAATGCAGTACAAAAAGCGACACACAGGCCTATCATTACACAAATGAGCAAATCCACATCCATTTCCAAATCATCTATTATACATACAATTTTAACATGCAATATAAGGCACAACGCACTGTGAGGGAGTCTTTAGTGCAGTTGACAGAAGGCTCAATGTCCAGGTGGTTGAAGGTCAGCTGGATCTGGTATCCATGAGGAACTTTCAGGTACCACCGTATATAGAGATCAGCTAAGTAGGGCTCAGGAAACAGTGGGGACTGAACATGACCATACATTGCTGCCTTGCACTCACACACACTCATCCATAGCAGACTAGAGAAAGAGATCAAAATGATGTAGTAAATGCAAAAATGTTACAAAATGACTTCATAGCAAAAGCACAATAAGACACATTAAGTCAGTCATGCTCATTGAAGCATCAGTGCATAACTAGTCACACTCACCCATGACAGAATAGCAAGGTATATCTGTTCAGTCTACAATGTTCTCTGTGTGTACTTAGTGATCTTTAGAAACAGACATGGGTCTGCTATTGAATTTTTGAATTGAATTTATCCACTGTAATACAGTTTAGAGGTGGATGTCTTTGAGAAGCAAGTCCATTAAACATACCTCATTATTAGTTTTATTCTGCCCATGACGGATATGTACAGATGAAATAGGCAATCTGGAAGGTAATGTTCAATTTTCCCAGCAGTTCTGAGTTTTTCAAACATCAGAAAACACTGCAGTCTGCAAATAGAGGAGCGAACAAACCTGAGTCTAAAAGTCACTAAAAAACAAGTTGTATTTGACTTGGCTGAAACTAATTAAAGAGACAGTCAGGAGGGAGGCGTCCACAGCCAGCACATACAACCTACATGAACATTTTGGGCAGGTGCCTTTCAACTCATGCTGTTGGAAGTGAGCTGCTCTTTTTTTTTTCCAAAAATAAAGCCACCTCTGAGCTGTTTTTGATTACCATGGCCCGTGCCCTCTTCTAAAGATACTGGAATTTTTGTCATGTAATTCACAGTCCACATCATTAATGAGAATGAGGTATTAATAAAATTAACATCCAGAATGCCTGCTTGAAAAGTGGTGATCAAATACTGAAGAAAAAATATTATAACATTATTGTTTTTACAGCTATATGCGTCAGAGGGCTGATGTGACTACTGGTGTTTTTTTTCCGATTGACCTTTTGTTCAAACTTAGGCTACCTAGCAGGTAGCAATTTATGCCGTGCAAGCTACCAAATTTTAATTCAGGATAGACTCAGCTTAATATTACTACTTCCCCTTGATATGCTGATTCAGGCTTTCAAAATATCCTAATTAATTTGTAATACTGGTAACATCTGATAAGGACATTTAGACAGTTAAACTATCCTATCAATAGCTTTAACACAAGGCTGAAGTCAGCTTCCTATCCGCCAGCTTTTTGTTCAAATTTTCTGGTTCCACTTTAAATGGTGCAGTAGTTGTTATTAAAATCCCTGAAGCACCAGCATGTAGCTGCTATACTGTTTAGGGTGGAATGGGACAATTTGAACAAGAAGCTGGCAAATAGGAACTAAGTCTCATAGGTCTCTTAAAGAATTATGTAGTAACTATGTTCCTCGGAATCACTACTCATAAATTACTGATCAATTAAACATGAATTGCTCAGTAGCTGAGTCTTAATAGGTTCATGGTAAACTACTAACTGATGTAGTGTATTCCAACACTTCTAAAAGTATTGAAACACACTACACAGTGTGCCGTCTCTACAATGTAAAGGATTATATCCACTATCGTTATTCACAGAAATAGGTGTCCTCGAAGAAGGTGGAAGGCACCACACCACACTGTACTGTCTGGTGTCCCTCATGTGCTTGTTTTGATCAGAAACCTTAAAAGGCTAATGCACATCTACACATTTGGCAGTATGAACCAAATCATACATCAGCCTACAAATGGGGCAAGGTGAGCCTAAGAGAGGGCTCACAGAAATGTATAGCTGTGTATGTGTCCTGCCTTCAAATTCACTTGATTCTAAATATTACCAAGTGATTTTGTAATTACCATCTGTTAGATCAGGCGTGTCAAACCCAACCACTAAAATGGCCATATTAAAAATCTCAACAAAGCTTTGGGCCAGTTGTGTTTTTATTTTCGTTTTACTTAACATTTTGCCATGACCCCAACTGGCCATTGTTTGTTCAAAATATGCCAAAACTACAACAGCAGAAATATGCACTGAATACTTGAACGATTCAAAAAGAATTTTAAATAAAACACTTTTTTTTTTTTACAACCCCATTTCCAAAAAAGTTGGGACGCTATGCAATACCATGAAAACAACATATCAATTGTTGAAACTGACACATTTTATTGTTTTTTGAAAAATATATGGCCATTTTGAATTTGATGCCAACAGCACATTCCAAAAAAGTTGGGACGGGGGGCATGTTTACCACTGTGTTTCATCACCTCTTCTTTTAACAACACTGTAAGCGTTTGAGAACTGAGGAAACACTGCTGTTGTTTTGAAAGTTAAATGCTTTCTTGTTCTTTTTTGTCATGTTTTTCATTTCATAATGCTCAAAATGTTATCAGTGAGTGACAGCTCTGGACTGCAAGCAGGTCAGTTTAGCACATGGACACATTTAATATGGAGCAATGCTGTTGTAATACATGTAGAATGTGGTTTTACTTTGTCTTGCTGAAATAACCCCTCTCCATCTTTACTTCTGAAAGACTCAGCCTCTCTGGAATGCTTTTTTATATATCATGTTACAGGTCCTGTTGCCAATCAACCACCAGGTGTTTTTTTTTTAGCATTACACAACTTTACCAGCCTTTTGTTGCCACCTTCCCAACTTTTTTGGAATGTGTTGTTGGCAGCAAATTCAAAATGGGCATATATTTTTCAAAAAACAATAAACTGTCTCAGTTTCAACATTTGATATGTTGTCTTTGTACTATTTTCAAGGAAATATAGGGTTTAAATCATTTGCACATCATTGCATTTTGTTTTTATTTACATTTTGCACAGCGTCCCAACTGCCCATTCGCTTAAACTAGACTCTTGGCATCTTTTTTTTTCTGGCGCTGTCTCATTGATCTTTGTAGGGGAGCGGGTGGGAGCACACATTACATTGCAATGCAAGCTGGGAATTGTAGTGCAACTCATGGTAAAATGGGCTAATATTAACAGCAAATGAAAATAATTTTGCAGGCCGAATAGGATTGTTCCACAGGCCTGACTTGGCCCGCGGGCCATGTTTTTGACACATGGGTGTAAGTCAATTAATGAGGTGTTACTGTCCTTCATTAGGAGTTAAAGATATTCTGGAAAAACATTATGAAGTGAAGCACATGGTAATTAGTAATAAACAAGGTGTTACTGTCTTCTTCATTAGAAGATAGTAATGATCAGGAACAGTATTATAAAAGTAAAACAAATGGAAATAAAAATCCCTAAACTAATGACATACTGTAAAGTTAAGTTCTTTTTATTTGTGAACAGTCAAAATTTGAGAATATTCCTGATTTGGCTCTGCCATTGAAAATAACACACCCACACAAAATGAAATCAACATCTGTTTTTACTGCTAAAGGAGAAATGTCTGAGACCTGCGACTGATCTCAGTGTGTTCTGCTAGTACATCTTTCTGTTTCATATCTAAAGCACAAAGTTTTGCTGCCCATTAGCTTTGCGAACATTAGCTAAATTAACTAGCTAGCTAGCATGCACTCATAACAGACCCTAAGCAGCAGCTTTAGGTGTAATAAAGCACTAACATGCTTATTATCGTGAAACATAACAGTAAAACGAACATCATAAAAGTCAGGCCCGGATCAACACGTTATGGATCCCTGGGCACAGATGTTTGGTGGGCCCCTACCTGGCTACCTTTTTTGTGTGGTCAGTGATTTTTAATGATATCATACCAAGTTAAACAACGTACATGCTTACTTAAGTTACCAGCTGCACTGAAGATACAGATGCAGCAGCTGTTTTGTTAAAACACACTGCACTGCTTCAGATTGACAGCATGTTGCATGTGTGTTTTCAAAGAGGCTGCTGGTGTTACCCCCTTTAAATGTGACTACCACTTTACATACATTGCATTTAGCTGCATTATCTTTAAATTTTGTAAAGTAAGCCACCACTTTTAAATGTCTTACACTTTCAGACGGGGCCAGAGAGCACATAATGACACTCAGCATTTGAAATAGTTAAGGTAATCAAGAAGCATTTGAACACTTTCATCACCCATAGCAGTGCACTAGAGTAATCCACTCTAGCACCAACCATTTGAAAATGCCTGTTATGTAGAATGAATTAACATTACACAAATACTCACAGCAGCACTGTTTGTCTGGGAGCTTATTAATATTTTGTTACTGACCAGTCAGAAACTGATATAAAATCGGATTCTTAGAATCGGATTCTTGATATCCATCCCTATTTGGCATGTGAGGAAAAGTACAGGAAGCTGAACAACTCAAATGTCTGTCCAAACAGGCTGCACAGCTTACCTGCCCTGCTCAGTGGGCCACGTGGCACAGACCAATTTGAACTGATCAGCGTGACCCACTGAGCCCAAAGTGGAACTGAATGAGTGAACTGAAAGTAGAACAAAGTAGAACATTACAAATTATATTGGTTACAGCCATTTACACAGAATCACGTGTTCCTGCATGCAGTATTTGTACTCTTATAAGTACCTGGGTTTTCACATCAACAATAGACTGGACTGGTCAGATAACACTAGTGCACTTTATAGGAAAGGCCAGAGCTGACTCTACCTGCTTAGGAGACTGAGGTCGTTTGGAGTGCAGGGGGCACTCCCTGAGGACCTTTTTCGACACTGTGGTGGCATCAGCCATCTGGGGCAGCAGCATCTCAACTGCAGACAGGAAGAGACTTGACATACTCATTAAGAGGGCCACCTCTGTCCTGGGAAGCCCCCTAGACCCAGTGCAGGTGGTGGGAGACAGGAGGATCTTAGTCAGACTAGCATCGATGCTGGAGAACAGCTCCCACCCCATGCATGAGACTCTGATAACACTGGGCAGTTCTTTCAGTTTTCCCAAGTGTGTGTAGGAGTGCTATCGCAGGTCCTTACTTCCTGCTGCTGTTAGACTGTACAACCAGCACTGCTCACAGTAGAACCCCCCACCCTCCACCCCCTTAATTATTTGCTTATTAATTCTCTTCTTGTTACTTCTTTCTTGAGTGCCTTGCTTTCCCTTTGTTGCTGTTGCACTGTGAATATCCTCGTTGTGGGACTAATAAAGGATTATTTTATCTTACCTTATCTTATCTATTTATTTTATGGCATGAACTAGTTAACTATCTGGTTAATCCACCTTGATATAGTAGGGCTTGGGTGGGGGTGAAAATTAATTCAGGATAATGAGAGGAACGATGGAAGGAAAAATGACCCATAAAGGAGTCAGTATGGTTATGAATAGGAGCTTGGGGACCCGCTCTTAGTGAGTAAATGCAGTTTGGTGGCTTTTGGGCAAAGGAAAGAATAGGGCTGGCTGGCAAAAATGAATGGGACTCTGAGGGAGGAATGAGGGAAGGAAAAATGATAAACAGATGAGTGCAGGTCAGAACATTGAATTTATGCTCAGGGGCCTGCCCTGAGATAGTATACACAAAACGGTATCTTTCGGTCAAACAGAAGTACAGAATGGTTTTAGCATTATAAAGTTACACATTGTACAGCTGTGAAACATTTTGTATTAGATTTTTCTGGTCTCAATTTTCACATGCTCTTGTATTATTAATTACTAAATTAGCTTTTTCGGAGGGGTAGGTTTATATGCAATCTTTGCCATGCTTTTTTTATATTGACACTGCCTGAACAAAACATATTTTCTCCCATATACTTTTATTCCTTTAAAGCATGTCTGTCCTTTATAGCGTAACAATTTCATGACATTCCATACAGTTTTGCTGAGTAGCTCCACTGGGACAGACTTTTGAGTTGAGTTTCCCAAGAAAATGATGCTTTGCACAAAGAAAACCGCACAAGAAAAACTGCTCTCACAAACAAGGGGAAGTAGTTCTGCAAGGAAAATCGGCCAAAGCTCAAATGTTCATTCTACTTGCTATTAAATAGGTAATCACTGTTAACTGAAATGCCCATCGTTACGTGTAACTGGGAAGAAATGTAGCTAATATGGAGGTTAAACTGTTCATGTCACTCCTGAAAAACATTTTGTCTGGGTAAAATACTTTAATTTATTCACAGTTAAAAATTAAGCCTGATTGTATCCTACTTTCTGTTGAGTTTGGCAAAAACATAGCATTTACATAAACACAACTGAGTGTTAATGAGACTAAATTGGCCTTTTTTGACTGACGTAACATTTTATCACCACCTCTGTTTGGCTGACGTACCACTGGACAACAAGGTGATGACAGTGGCGACAGTGGTGTTTATATTTTTTATCTTATTTTTTACCTTTAGTATTATTTATATTGTCTATATAGTAACAAGTAACAAACTGTAAACCTTGTCAAATAATTAACAAGTTAATTATGAATATACTGCACACTGAGTGCACCGCACAGTGTCCGAAAATTATAAATCATTATTTTTAATGGAGGTGGTTTCTGAGCCACTCAGCATTTTGCCATAATTAGATTAAATTAAAGCCATTTAGAGGCTGCAGAGAGCCACAGTAGATTACATGAAAAAATCTAAACAGAGACAGGCAGCCAGTCTTTCAGAAAAACAGACAAATTCTAGTGGTATGTTCCCTCAGCTAATGTTACTGTGCTATCCTTTTTCAGATAAAAAAAACCAAAAAAAAACAAAAAACAAAGTTTATGAAAAGGTACCATTGCAAAGCATGATAAGTGATGCTCAATGTTTTATTTCATTAAATGAATATGAGTAGAGCATAAAGATGAACTTGAACCTGGTGCTTATTTAGTGCTCTACGTGGCACGTCTGGTGTATTGATAGAAATTGATAGAATTGATAGAAATATTTGCATGTTAAAAGGACATATATAACATACAACAACAGGAAGTAAAAACAAGTAAACACATTTCCTATAATCAATTGTTGCATTCTGGGCCTGTTTGAACACACTGAGTCAAATTCTAAAAGAATATAATTTCTTTTATTATATATTTTATTATATTTTTGTAAGTAGTATGGTTTAACCTGTGTTTCGACACTCATAATTACACATTATTAACATCAAAACATCTACCCATCAATCCTACCTGAAAAAGAAACAAAAGGAATAAAATTACATGGACTCGTATCTAATGTTCTAATCTAATGTTTATCTAAAGTATCTAATCTAATGATTAATGAAGCTGGTGTTAGTTGTTCTCCATGGTTTCTCTGATCCAGTCCAGGTAGTTCTCCACTTTGGTGTAATAGCCTTTAAAGTTTTTATCTCCACATTTAGCAGGACCCCATGACACGATACCTTTGAGTCGGTAGGGTGTTTCTGGAGACCCTCTTCCCAACAGTGGAATGATCAGTGGCCCACCACTGTCACCTTTACAGGTATCCACATCTTCATCATCTCCTCCAGCACAGAACATATTATCAGTGACCTTCAGAGTGGTGCTAAAACAAGGAACTTCTGAATATTCTTTCACAGGACCATGCTGCAAAAATCTACTCCTTAAAGGAGTCTTCGATGTTCCTCCAAACCCTGAGACTGTTCCTGACTTTCCCTCCATCACCGGCCCGTTTGATTTCTCTGGCAGACACACTGGCGTGACATTGGTACTGAGTGGCACTCTCGCAGACATCTTCACTAGAGCAATGTCATTATCATAGTTTGTTTGCACTGGGCTCTCCACTTTATAGCCTGGATGAATTACAATCTTCTCAGTTTCCATTTTAGTTGCATTTTGGTCTAGGCCGTCAATCATTCCTCCATAGAACAGCAGTGTTTTTGTTTCCTGTCCAGCCACAACATGAGCTGCTGTAACAGCCCAGCGATCACTAATTAGAGAGGCACCTCCTCGATTCGGTTGTTTTGTCAGAAGCTGCCAGGGAATCTGTCCCAGTTTAGCATCCTGTCCTCCAAAAACCCTTCCAGCAGAAAAGGTCTGTTTATTCATGCCACATACTGATAGAAGGATGCAGAGAACAGGAAAGAGAGAGACAAAAAGTGAGACACTTTAAGAATACCTCATTATCATTAAGTTCTGATGCATGCATGAGGCTGGACATAAACTACATGATAAAAAGAGTGAGAGAGATAAGGAATGTTTGGTTGGTGACAACACTGACTGTTATACCTGGAATACATCTGGGCAAATCCACCTGAGGAGAAAGAATGTGTCCATTTGATTCCCACTGTCCACTAGCATTGCAGGTGAAACTAGCTGGTGCAAGAGAACAGAGACAGAGAGTTGTGAACAGAAGCAGTCTTTCCTCAAGTACACCTGAAATGTGGAAAACTGTGATTACTTATATTTTTCACATGGCATTTAAGAAGTAAAAACTGAGCTATAATGTAGCATACACCAAAGATTTCCTCAAGTTACCTAATGCGAGTCTGATTTAAGTCTCGAATCTTTGGGGTTTGAGTCTGAGACGAATCTTAAATCTCTGAGGTGCAAGTGTGTGTTGAGTCTTGAATCTCTGGGATGTGTGTCCATTTCAAATCTCGAATCTCTGGGGTTCCAGTCCGACTCGAGCCTTGAATCTCTGGGGTGCATGCATGTGTCCAAACTTTAATCTCTGGGGTGTGTGTGTCAAGTCTCAAATCTCTGGGTTGCAAGTATATGTAGAGTTTTCAGTCTCAAGTCTGGGGTTTGAGTCCAAGTCGAATCTCAATTCACTAGGGTTTAAGTCTTTTGTTACTGGGGTTAGAGTTTAAGCGAAAAAAAATCTGAATAATCTAAAAAAACTAATCCAGCTAAAGTTTTGCTACATTTTAAAGGAAGCTGTGTCTTATTAAAACGTAAGCTAGTTAGCTGAATTAGCTAAGCTGAATTAGCTGTTCGCTACCTAGCATACTTGCTATCCAAACTACATGTCATACCCTGATAGCAGCAGGGCAACATTTATTTATTACTGATTTTTTATCAGAATCATCAGTTTGGCCGAGGCAGAAATTTCACTGTCAAGAGTATGCAGGATCAGTGTTAAACTATGAAAGTGTCTCCTAACACTGGCAACTTGTGATGATGAATATACAACACTGCAAACGTTTTGGGCACCTAGGCACAGCAGTAAACCATTTTGTCAAGTCAAGTCAAAAGGCTTTCATTGTCATTCCATCTGTGTACAAGTACATAGTGGAGCGAAATAACGTTCCTCCAGGACCATGGTGCAACATGTAACAAAATAGGCAATACAGACAAAGTGCAAATGTGCAGACGTGAGTGTCCAAAACATTAAACTAGAAACAATACAATAGGTATGATAAATAAAACAGACTTTAGACACAGTAAACAGACAGGACAGTGCAGCGCAAACACAACACTCATTTCTGAGCATAAGGTAGTGAGGATAAGGTGCAGAGATATTTAACATGCTGTGAGATGTAAGTATAAAAGCTGTTGCAGAGTCTGCCAGTGATGGCACAGTTGCTCCGGTACCATCTGCCAGACGGCAACAGTGAAAAAAGTCTGTGTGAGGGATGGATGGGGTCGTCCATAATGCTGGTGGCTTTGTGGATGCAGTGTGTGGTGTAAATGTCCATGATGGATGAGAGAGAGACCCCGATGATCTTCTCAGCTGTCCTCACTATTTGCTGTAAGGTCTTACGGTCAGAAGCATTGCAATTGGCAAACCAGGCGATGAGCTTTCTTCAGTCTCTGAAGGAAGTAGGGGCACTGCTGGGCTCTCTTGGCTGTGGAGTTGGTATTGAGGGACCAGGTGAGGTTCTCTGTGATGTGGACACTGAGGAACTTGGTGCTCCTGACGATCTCCACAGCTGAGCCATTGATGTTCAGTGGGGGGTGGTCACCTTGCTCTCTTCAGAAGTCAACAACTATCTCCTTAGTTTTGTCCAATTCAGAGACAGGTTGTTGGTTCTGCACCAATCCGTTAGCTGCTGCACTTCCTCTCTGTATGCTGATTCATCGTTTTTGCTGATCAGACCCACCACAGGTGTGTCATCAGGGAACTTGATGATGTGATTTGATCTGTACTTTGCAGTACAATCGTGAGTCAGCAGAGTGAACAGCAGTGGACTAAGCACACAGCCCTGGGGGGCACCAGTGCTCAGTATGGTGGTGCTGGAGATGTTGTTGCTGATCCGGACTAACTGAGGTCTCTCAGTCAGGAAATCCAGGACCCAGTTATAGAGGGAGGTGTTCAGGCCAACAAGGAGGTGTTCAGTTTTCCAATCAGCTGCTGAGGGATGATGGTGTTGAGTCTATGAACAGCATTCTGACGTAAGTGTCTTTATTGTTCAGGTGGGTAAGAGCCAGGTGGAGTGTGGTAGAGATAGCATCATCTGTTGAGCAGTTGAGGTGACATGCAAATTGCAGTGGGTCCAGTAAAGGGAGGAGCTGGTCTTTGATGTGCCTCATGACAAGTCTCTCGAAGCACTTCATGATGAGAGTGAGTGCAACGGGATGGTAGTCATTGAGGCAGGACACTGGAGACTTCTTCAGCACAGGGATGATGGTGATGGACTTGAAGCACGTTGGAACGACTGCAGTGCTCAGAGAGATGCTAAATATGTCAGTGAGAACATCAGCCAGCTGTTCAGCGCATTCTATGAGCACTCTGCCCGGTATGCTGTCAGATTCTGGGGCTTTTCGCGGGTTGACTCTGTGTAGAGTTCTCCGCACATGAGCACTGGACAGACACAGTACCTGATCATTTGGAGGTGGTGTGGTCTTTTGTGCCGAATCGTGATGGCCTGGATGCCCTGCCATATGCACCGTGTGTTAGCAGTGTTTTGAAAATGTTCATGGATTTACTTTGAGTAAGTGCGCTTTGCCTCTCTGATTACTCAGCAAAGCTTGGTTCTTGCTATTCTGAGGCTTGTCTTACCCCCTGATTTGAAGGCCTTGTCGTGGGTTCTCAGCAGCATGCGCACCTCTGCAGTCATCCATGGCTTCTGGTTGGGGTGTGTTGTGATGAGTTTGGAGTTGGAGTAACATCGTCAATGCACTTGCTGATGTAGCCAGTCACTGATTCTGTATACTCCTCCAGGCTGATGAAGTCACTGGAAGTTGCTGCTTCTCTGAACATCTCCCAATCGGTGTGCTCTAAACAGTCCTGTAGAGCAGAGATAGATCCTGGCAGCCAGGCTCTCACTTGCTTCTGGTCTGGTTTGGCACGTCTGATGAGCAGTCTGTATCCTGGAATGAGCATCACAGAGATGTGGTCTGAGTAACTGTAGTGGGGCGGGGTTCGGCCCTGTACGTGCCGGGGATGTTTGTGTAAACAAGATCCAGCACGTTAGCTGGGGGGGGTTGCAAAGTCCACATACTGGTGGAATTTAGGGAGCACTGACTTCAGATTAGCATGGTTGAAATCTCCAGCAACAATGAACAGTCTGTCTGTGTGTGTTTTGGAGATTACTGATAGCACTGTACAGCTCATTCAGTGCAGCATTAGCATTAGCACTGGGAGCTATGTACATTGCTGCTATGTACACTGTAGTCAGCTCCCTCGGCAAATAAAAAGGCCTGTCTCTGACAATCACAAACTCCACCAGCGGAGAGCAGTGACTAGAGACTAGTGCCATTTTTACACAGGCCCCCTCCTCAAGTCTTACCATACAGTTCAGTGTCTCTGTCCGCACGGAGGCACAGCAGGCCGTCAAGCTGAATGGCTAAGTCCGGAGTGGAGCTTGTAATCCATGTCTCCATAAAAACGAAAACACAGGAGTCTCTGAACTCACGCTGGGTATCTCGCTGGATCTGGAGGTAGTCCAGTTTATTTTCCAAAGAACAAACATTTGAAAGAACAAGCGATGGCACCGCTGGTCATCTGGAGTTAGCCATTAGCCTAGCGCGCACCCCAGTTCGCTTGCCTTGCTTGCACCATCCCGCGCATCGCTTCAGTCAGCATACATTCCGAATAAAGCTGATTCTGATTCTGAATTCTATCACCAGCACACCTGATTTACATTTTTTCTCAGTTGCTTAAACAATTTTGTCCACTCAGAAGCCATTTTTTCAAAACTGTTAACACATGGTACTTGCTTGACAAAATAATAATGTTTCTTTGCAAAATGATTAAATGTACCCAAAATACACAACACAAAAGCACATTTTTTCATCAGCACTACAACTTATAATCAGGACAACATTCCTTCAGTCACCAAACCCTGACCAAAAAATCCCACAAAATTCAGGTTTCAGTCTCACAGGTTTCAGTCTCCATTACAGCTGCATATCAATGCTTTAAGATCTCATCCTAAATATTCAGAAACAAATATATTCACTCCTTTTATCTTTTTTCCTATAACAAAGTGACAGAGGTGGAGAACAAAATTGTCCAAAATGATGCCAAACTATGCTTGAGTATACATCAGTCAAGGGTTAGACTGTGTCAGAAGATTCCCAAAGAAGGCCTTACATGCCTACCTTACTAAGCTGAAATTCAGACAAAACAGATCATCATGGCTTGTCTGTGACAGAACTGTGACAGAAGGTTCTAACCCGTCAGCACACTGTAGCCTTTATTGTACAATTTTTTTAAAAAAATCCCCAATAGATAAGTCAGACACCTATTACGCATCCCTCTACTGACAAAAACCTCCTGTCTGTCATCCTTAGGGACAAATATTGCTATCTACTGTTCTTACCTTTTTTTCTATAAGTATGGAAAAAAAGCAAAAAGTAGAAACAAATGTTTCCGAATATTTCCAGTGATTTTTTTTTTGTAGATGGGGTGTGCAGTAAACTGCCTTAAAACATTATATCTCTGGTAGAATCGATTGTCTAGATGTCTCACAGTCTCAGTAGGTACGGCTGTCATTTCGTTAATCAGTTTTATATAACGACAGTCTAACCTATTACCTATTTCTCGTCTGATAGACACCTGGAATCTTATATCAACTGCTGATGACTGATTACTGAGTTAATACTTGTGCATCAAATGCTTTCCTTTTATTTTGTTTTTGTTTTGTTTGTTATCCAATGAACTTTTGTGTTTTTGTATGAGATCCACAGAATCCCCTGATATCCGGACTGCCACTGTTAAAAATAATAGTAATAATAAACTGTTCTGTTTTTATTTTTAAATTTTCAAAACCTGCAGTAGCCCTGCTTTGTTTATGCAAATATCGTATTTTTCAGGACAGTGAGCAGAAAATTGGCTGCTTTGGGGGCCCGTCGCTCAAACACACATGGGTTGAGATCCAAAGAAGGAAAGTCTATGCATTTTGAAGGCCAGTTCTGACCCCAAAGAAGTCAAATATTGCTTTTTAAACTTAAAAATGATCATCTATCGATAAAATAATGTGATATCTCCAGCTCAGTGTGCGTTTCAGTGCTAAATCCCCCCCATGACTGTGGGTGTGACACAATGGGTTACTGCTCCACATATCAACGATCTGATTAGTCGCCACTCAGTTCATCTGCATAAAGTTCGTCCAGAACGAGAGAGCAGAGAGAGGATGTGCGTCAGCGATTTAATGTCAGTTATATTTATATATTATCTCTGGCCTCACTGCAACGCATTATGATATGTTTTGTATGATAAAAATAGCAAAATAAATACACGGTGGGGTGCTGGAGCCTCTCTCAGCTGTCACTGGGCGGAAGGCAGGATACACCCTGGACAGGTCGCCAGTCCACCGCAGGACAGACAGACATACACATTCACACACACACACTCACACCTAGGGGCAATTTAGCATGTCCAATTGGCCTGACTGCATGTCTTTGGACTGTGGGAGGAAACCCACACAGACACGGGGAGAACACGCAAACTCCACACAGAAAAGACCCTGGCTGCCCGGCCGGGAATCGAACCCAGGCCCTTCTTGCTGTGAGGCGACAGTGCTACCCACCGTGCCGCCCGCAAAATAAATAAATTCATTAAATAAAGGCAGATCATATTGCATGACGTCATCGCTCACATCTCATTTATGCTGCTTAAATTTTCAGCACCCCCACCTTAAAACACCTTCCCACATCTCTGTATGTATTAATTCATAGTGAACTCAAGATCTTATGACAGACACAGCAATGTGAACTGTCTTGTGTGCCCTCCTCACAGATTGCTGCTGTCTCTATAAGAAGTATATAAAAAGAATATTTTTAATTCCCAACATAGTTTTTAAAAATGTTTGATGTTTGAATGATAGAACATTGTCTTAAAACTGAATAGTAATCCTTTTGAAGTGTTAGCTGATTTACTATTATACTGGATAAATGCCCACACATGGCTGTTCGTGTTAGCTATGGTAAATAGCGAAAATTAACTACGTATTATTTTTATTATTTACTGAGCCGGGAAATGTGGCCGTCTACTTTATAAACAATAGAGAGAAACAGAAATATTCTTACACTTATGCTTCTTGTACAACTGGTTAAGAACACAGCTTGATTTCTTTCCTTTTATTTTTTACAGCACCCAAGGAGAAAGTTCATTTCATGAAGTAATAAGCCAGTGAGTTTTGGCGTGTTTATTAATAACTGAGAGTTCGCGCATCACTATTTTTGCACTACTGAAATGTTCTTTGTGAGGCACTTTCTTGTTATCTTGTTATATATTTAAATAAAGAAATGATTTGGCTAATGACATTTTGGCAATTTGGCTAATGGAAAGCTGTGTGGTTTGTTTTAGCCCAAAGACATTTCATTTGTTTTATTAGGCATTTTGAAAATTAGATGTGGTTTAAATAAAGCAAGATGGCTTTTACAATGTTTTACTGTATTAATAGTAATAATTTTCGAGGGGTTCACGTTGTTTTGCTTCTTTACTTTAAACACCGCATTTACTGTGTAGCACTTTGTCTTTTCTATCACACTGAAGATTTTTCTCTACCAGAAAGCTTGCTACTTGAAGCCTTTTCGAAAACGAAAATCACATGTAAAGTTGGAAATTAAAGGTTTTATTTATTTATTGCATTATGTTTTGTGATCCTAATTTAATCAGTTATGTTTGTGTTTTTTACTGAAGTTGAAATTTCAAAAGTCAAATTTTGAACCTGAGTCAGTTTAAGGTGTGTCAGAATCTCCTGCACACGCATACACACACACACACACACACACACACATACACACTTTCTTTACCGTGTCCATCCAGCTTGTAGTACTCTGATAGACACTTGAAGCTGATGTTTTGCTTGTATGTTGTAAGTGGACTCTCCTCTGTTAGGGCTATCAGATCTGGATCTGCAATCTCAGGAATCCCACAGTCCACCACTGGAGGGGGAAACACAGAAAGAGCCAGTTTACAGTCAAAGCAAGGCATCTTGTATGTTTTAGTGGATGAAATCTTTTTTAAAATCCTGAGATATGAAACATTTATTCATATTTCACAATTCTGTAGAGCTGAACTCAAGGAACTGAACACTCAGTATCACAATAGTAACTAATCACTGAATTGTACAGTATTATAGTAATCAAAAAGTGAATATTACAACACTGTACTAAGTAAACATTGAATATAACAGTTTCTCTGTAACGAAACACTAAATATTACAATGTCAGAGTAACTGAAAATTAATATTACAGTATTATTGCAATTAAGACTGCATATTCCACATCATACTGAACACTGGAATTCACAGTATTATAGGAGTTAGAGAGACAGCACAAAAACACTTTTTCTTTTCTGATACCAATACCGTTGTTATCATTTTGGGCAATTACTGATCCAATCTTCTTTCTGTAAAACCTTTCTCTAAAAATGGCTTTAAAAATTTTAATTGAAGCACTTCACTTAAGATGAGCATCTAAAAGTAGACTATCATGTTCAAACTACTCAAATACACTATAATCCCACAGGAAGAAATACTCAGCTAACAGCATCACACCGTAAGTCTGTGTGTGCTTTTTCAGGCTAGATTTGTTACATGACTGAATCAGAATTCATTCTGTTTTTCCTCTGATATCTGATCCAGCATTTTCTGCTGATGTCAGCCCAACAGTAACTAAACAAAATAGTACCAGTGGTACCAACAGTACCAACACTGAATATTATAGTATCATATCTAAACACTGAATGGTACTGTATCACACCAACTAAACACAGATTTCTGTCAGATAGCTGTCAAAATTTGCAGATTATGGCAGATCCATGACAGTTGCCTTGGGAATACAAAAAGATGACCAAAAGTATGTTCTAATATCCTTGTTACCCCATGTTATGTTTTGCCCCATTCTCCCAAACCATTCACTGAATATTACAGTAGCACAGTAACTTAAAACCAGTGAAGATTGTGTTAAAATCTTAAATGTCCAGTTTGGACTAGGGTTAGCATTTATCACAGCAGTGCCACTATAGCCGTTTTAACAGCTGTATAGATACATGTGTGTACGCTGACTCACGTTCACAGCTGTAGACAGGACTCCACTTTCCGCTCTTTTGACAAGTAGACTCAAAAGTTTTCTTAGTAGCCTGTGCACAAAAAAGGACACATTGAATGTTCTGAAGACAATAATTACAAATGGAATAATAAAACAAGAAAACAAGTCTAATGAATATGCAGTAGTTATAAATATACACAGTATTATATATCTTTACAATGTGCAACTGCAGAGAGTTAAAGGGATCACCCTGTGCTGGGGGTGTTAACTGCAAGTGGTAAATGCAAAGTGAAAGCTTGAAAATTTCAGGTCAGATGTGCAAGGCTGATTCCAGTGACGTTATTCAAAGCTGACTAGAATATATTTTTGATTCCCACAAACTTCCACCTGTCAGTCAGAAGATCAAAGCAGGGCCACGGTGGGAAAGGGGCTTTATCTGAAAGATGGTGACTTGAGAACTTAAAGGAACAGTTCATGTATTAGCAGGCAAACAGAAAAACTAAAGTAGTTCCCTTTGTAACATTATTAACCTGAAAATAAACAAGATTTTTAATTCTTCACTCAAAAGCCTTACTGTCCTAGTTAACAATGTTTAACAACTAAAAGTTAATTTTTCACACATTGATATGAATTGAAGATTGACAGAATGTGGAACAGAAATTTGACACTCTAGCAATTTTATAGTACTGTCGTAATTTCCCAATACTATATAATACCATATTACCGATATACCAACTCACCTTGCAGTGGACCTGCACTGACACCTGCCCTGTTTCATACTTCACCTGGGACCTAATCACACCCTCCACCCCCAAATGGTTAGCACTACCCCCTGCTTTCAATTCAGTGCTGCCAAATTCTTCAATATTACTGTCACGTCATTAGCAGAAAAGATAATAAACCTCTGCTTTAATCTGATCTGATCAACAGAAAAAAAACACTAAAATACTCACACTGTCCACACTATATCCTTCCACGCACTGTACAGTGACTGTGTCTCCCATTGTATACACACTTTTCTGAGGTGACAGAAAGGAGTTGGCCGTCACTTTTCCAGGACACTCCATCACTGTAAGATATTACATTACATTACAGTCCCATAATCAACCAAAAATGTATTAACACACACCACAAAGCACTACGTTCTCAGTTAATAACTAATCAATGGTCAAACAACACAGAGCTCAAAGACAAGCCCCACAGCTTCTCCAGTATGGTCTTCTAGTCTTGTCTTCCAGTTATTAACAGCAGCACAGGAGGCAACAGGAGCTCTAAAGACAGACACGCTGAGCAGCCTTACGTTTGGTGTTGTAGCTGAGTGAGAAGCCCTGGTTGGTTCCTCCCTGGTCTGTACGGAAGAGAACCTGAATGCGTCGAGCAGCAATGTTAATGGGAGCGGGTGCCTCCTGCCCACAAAAGGGTCCAAAAGTGGCAGAGTCCGTCTTTATCTGAGAGGGAGAGACAGAAGGAATGAGAGGAGAGATGTGGACGGGGTTTAGTGGAAGCAGGCACTGCAATGAACACAAATAATCTCGTAGCAATTCTATATGATTTTTCAGCCTAAAGCAGGAAAGCTCTGAATAGAGCTGTGAGCAAACTATCATTCTGGCTGTTTTAAGTTTTATAATGGCAAAAGAGCTGTTCCAAGCTTGGGGTTCCAGTACTGTTCAAAATCAGACATCAGAACACCCTTTATTTATTTAATTTCCAGTCAAAACAGCCATTAAGTACAAGTTATTACCAAGATTCACAAGATTCATCTTGGTAACACCAAAACTGGCACAATCAGATAAACAGTACTCAAAGCTTTTATCTTTGAGAGAGGAGAGAAAATCCAGCTCCACTCTTGCTTCAGAAATGAAAAAATTCACAAGTATTTCTGAAGACAACTTAACACTATGGGTCTGCACCTTGGACTGGCCACTCCAGAGTCCAGACTTCAAAATCCTTGAATGTGTTTAGGATTACTTGGATTGTGAGAAACAGAAAATGGAAGTCTCATAAAAGAATGTTAGCTGTAATAAAACATAAGGGTGGACACACTAAACACTTAAAATTTGACATTTATATTTAATCGTTGAGGCTTCTGTGTAATTTAAAATATGTGAATGGATTTTGGCTGGAAATTGGATAAATGAAGGGTGATCTTTGACTTTCTCACAATACGTTTAGGGGGAACTGGAGGCATGAAGTTTGAGATGTTGAAGTTCCAAACTGCCTCTTTTTGTATTTGCCATGCATGTCACCAATTACTGCCACACTGTATTAATCTGGCACAAACCAAGCCAAAGAACCTTCATGAACTATTATGAAAAGACACTATGAGAAGAGGTGGTGCAGGTCAGAGGTGCAGTACAGACTGTTAATGAGTCGACACATTGCCCATCTCTGCTCTCCACATCAAACTCCCCAATGAAGCTCAGTATGAGCTGCTCCCCTTCGTCCACAGTCAGCGTGTAGGAGCAGTGAGCGTTCTCGAAGTATGGACCAGGACTGCCCGGAGGCGTCAGTACACCCTCCCCAAAGCGCTCCTCTGTACAGTTCACTGAGTGAGAGAGAGAGAGATATATTAAATATAATTGTGGAATTTATAACATATATAAGTTACTATATCTAAAACACTAGTATAAATCAGTAACATTATTAGGTATATAATGATTGTGTTTACATTCAACTGCATTCAAGCTATTTTTTAATTGAATATCATAAAAATATTTTTCCTCTTCTACCCACAAACACAAATGTAGTGTTAATTAAAAGATTGGAATCTCACAGATTTTGTCTACTTAATATACAATTCTAGCATTTTTTTTATTGGCAGTGATAATTACAGCCTCTCACTGTTAAGACAAAAACAAAAATCCTATCATGAAATGATAAAAAAATGTATGAGTGGGACACATAGTAACATTTAGTGCAAAATACAGAGCAATACAGTCTTTGTGTGGGGAACAGCAGGCAACAGTCAACCACACAGAGTCCTTTTTTACAGTTTAAGAAAGTTTAATTGTCTTGTTAAAATCTTGGTGAACTCATTGTTTACTTGCCATTACTGTTGTTGGTATTGTTGATATTGTAATCTGTGTTTTTTTAGGGGCCCGAGCACTTAGTGCTGGGTCACTATTGTTATTGATGTTGCTCTTATTAATACCTCAACTGTTAATTTATTACTCAAAAGGTCAGTTTCTAGGACAGGGATCAAGCCAAGTGCTGAACTATCTAACAATCTAGGTGGAGAATCACCACTGAAAGAAAAAATTGTCCAGGATGAGGTTTAATCTCTGCCTGAGAAACCAGCCCAATATGTTCAACTTTGATCTTGATGCTTGAACCTACCATGGTCAAAGTTCAGGAACACTGCTATCATATCATATGTTTTATGTAAGATGTGCTTTACCATATCCAGATGTCAATGTAACTGTATTCAGTTATATTGTCTTATTAATCAATACTTTAAGTCCAACTGAGCAATAGCAAGCCAGAAAACATTCACCTGACCCCCCATTTTACTTCAAAACAAATATTGGGACACTAATTTAAATGCATACAGTTCAAACCAGAGATCTCCAACCTGCCATTCAACACACCTTAAGTTCATTAACAATCTGAAAGATAGAGAAAGTTGAAAACTAATAGAACTTGAATACTGAGGTGAATAATCTGACAAAACATATTGTCTCTTTGTAATAAAAGTCAGATTCACTGAAATTCCAAAATCAAGAGTGAAAACTATAGTGAACTGGTGGAAACAGACAGGACGTTTTTAAAAACTGCCACGCTCAGGACATTCAAAAGAGAAGATCTAATAAAGCTGGCTAAGCATCAGTTGTGCAAAGTCATGCACTACAAGCCTAAAAGACTTCAAGCTGGCATCCAAAAGAAAGGATATGCAACAAAATACTAACCTAAAGAAAATACTAAATACTGACCTACATAAAGGAAAGAGACACCAATGTTTGTCCCACTAATGTCTGAGTACTTTTACTTTTACGTTTTCAGTTAATTATCGGGATAATAAGTAAACATGGTTGGTATTACTCATTGTTCTAACTTTTCCAATGGACATGAATAAATAAATGATGCATTTATCTTGCAAATAAGATATAAACTGTATACAGAAAGTGACCTATAACTGCTTTTGAGCATTGTATTTACTCCCTGTCCACTTTAATAGATCTTGTAGCTCCACCTTGCTGGTGTGCAGCTAAAGACTGTAGCTTCTAAACACCCCTCTCAGCTCCAGACACACTACCATACCACTACCAGTCAATGACCAATGATGAATGGGTTAGAGGCAGCAAAAAATTTGGCATAACAACAGATAAAGAGAATGAGACAGAGAGGAAAGGGAAGATGAAAGTCTAGAGAATTTCTCCATTTTGTGAATATGTTTGTCCATCTCTGTGTGTATAGTTCTGTACCGATGCAGGTGTGCTGGTCTTCACTGAGGTGGTATCCTGGTTTACAGCTGCAGCTGTATCCTCCGATGTAGTTATGGCAGAAATGAGAACACTGCAGATCACTGTCCCAACACTCATCCACATCTGTGGGCACACAGAGAACAGAACAAAGGTCAAAGTTCAGTTATGTACCATTTAAACCTGATCTACATGGAACCAATGGCCCACCACAGGTAGAACAGGTACTGAAATTAGTACAGTTACAGTCTGAGTCATTACTTCAACTGATTAAGTCATTTACTCATCAGAGACGTCCTTCACTTGCAGGCTTCGTGTGTTCTCTGTGTCTGGTTGAAAATAGGAAACAGGACTGTAAACAGCACCACCTGCTGAACCTACCCTGAACTGTGTAGAAGGCCCTGAAGCCTGTGTGTCTCTCTGTGTTGGAGTAGTCAGCCTCAAAGGTGAGAGAGAGACAGCCTCCGGGGGACGAGTGGAGTGAGGGATTGACACGGGACTGCAGCTGCTCAGTTGACATTCTGCCACACAAAGTTTTGAGGAGAAGACTGTCAGCAAAGACCTGAAAGAGGAAAGAAACAGGAGAAAGAAGACAGAAAAAACAGTGAGACACAGAGGTTAAAAAGACAGTTTGTCAATAAAAATTTATTTCAATAAAATAATTTATCTTTTACCCCAAATGTAGTCAATCAAACAAGACATGTCTGAAGTTCGTTTCTTAAGTTTTGCACTAAAGCTAAAAGGCTAATGTAGCTAACAAGTGGTGGAAGTTTACAACCCACCTATTAGCACAGTGAAAACTGCATGCCTAAATCAGGAGCATAACTGTGTTTCCAGGGCCCTACATTCCTAGGGTCCTATGTTCTTAGGGCACTTTGTTCCCAGGGATGGTTCCCTATGTTCAGTTCTTTATATCGCTGCTGTTGGAAGAAAACCTCGTATCTCCATTTTTGTTGTTTTGCAGTTTTTGACATAATTTGAAGATGCCCATTGCCCTTTACATTGTGTGTAAATTTCATGAAGAATGGACCAAAAGAAACAGCCTAAAATGGCCTGGAAAAAAGTCAGGTCGCATTGACTTACGTGAAAAGTAAAGTAGGTTTTATCCTTTTTCTGTAAAGTTATCATTTTGGAGATACGAAGTTTTCTTTTGACAACAGCAATACGATACCTTAATATGGTACATTAAGGAAACCTATGAAAGAGTTCCCTTAGGGTCCTATTTAATGTCATGCGGTCATCAAAGGTCATAGGTCATGCAGGAAACAATGCAGCAGATTTCTCAATATGAATGCCCTTTGCCTCAGCTACGCTAGCCTCAGGTAGCTAATTACCCAGCTAAGCAAACTTTATTTGCTTATACTGTATTTCAAGTTGGAGTGTATAATTGACCTTTTTGAATAATTCCTTTGTCTGGTTTAACTGTGATGCACTACACTTCTTTTGTTGTTGTGTAGTCCTTAGCTTACTAACTAGCAAGTTGGCAGAATAAAGTAACAAACTTGAAATTGTATTTTGGGAAATGGTGAGGGCAAGTTGAGATAAAGGGCATTTTAAAAATAGCACTGAAATAAAGGGTACATGTCAGTGAGGATGTGCTCAAAGATTCCACTGTTTGCATGAATTCTGGTTATGTTTTGTAGTGTTGTTCATATTATTATGTTCAAATAGAATTATGACAGCAACATGGAAACATGCAGCTATGTCCCATGCAATTTTCAATGAGGGAACACAGGACCCCATATAGGGATGTTCCCAAAAAACAAAAAAACAAAGGCAGAACACAGGCCTGGGGAAAATAGAGCCCTGGAAACATTTGGGTATTTCCTAAAAAATTCAAAGAGAAAACAAAAGGCTCAGGGAACACAGAACCCTTGGAATGTAGGGATGACCCTCCCTAAATCATGGCACACTTGCCTCAAACCACAGCAAGTTGTTAAATAAATAAACTTGCTTTTATAATTTCAGAGACTGTGCCTTCTGGGTGCTTTCTTCAGCAGTGTAGTGTCCATCTTTTATAAGTATCAGTATGCCATACAGTGTGCAAAACCACACAAGCAACAGAGATTATTTATATAGATTTAGATATATACCCTTCCTATTTGAGGCATGTGGGTTGATGCAGGCAGGCAGTTTGCAGAATGCTAATTGGTGTTTCCATTGCTTGTTAGCCTCATAGTTCCATTACAAAACTAAAGACTTAAACTTAAGCTGTAGATAACTAACATGTCTTTTTTGCTGAAGTGCCACTTTAAGGTTGGAAAAAAAGCTTGCATTACTCTAAACCCTCACATCTGTACCTTGACTGCATCATTTTCACACTGGTAGCTGTCCTCTAGGTCCAGGTGGATGATGGAGAGAGTAAGTATGTTTCCGGCTGGAGCGCAACGTTCCCACATCATTTGACTGTGAGGTTCATATCCGCCTGGGTGACCAGGAGAACTCACCCAGCCAGCCAGAGGATGAGAAAAACACACCGGCAACAAAAACACACACACACTGTGGGGGAGAGGGGGAGAGAGAGAGAGAGAGAGGGAGGAAGATGAGCAAGTTAACCCTTAATCTAGAGTTATTAATGACATTTTGCTATTGATTTAAATGTAATTACATAATTAATTACATATAATCCTTCAAACACTAGTTGATTATTAAATTATTAATCTCAACCCTCATATTTCATATGTATATGTACTATTATAAAAATGTGCATTTCAAAGAGACATTGTCCAGCTCAGAAATGTGTCATTGATAAGCTGCACCATGCTAGAAAGTGGGCTATAAAAGTGCCCACCAAGAGATACTGTGACCAAGTACACTCTTTATATTGGTTTATTCAAACGCTTCCCTTCTTTATTAACTTTTCAGTATCATTACATATGTATCATGTCATTGTAAAGTGAGGAAAACTGGTTTGTTACTCTGAGCCAACAGGGTTAAGATTTAGTATTTAGTAGCTACTATGAATTGCCTTATCTATGCTTCACCTACAAAACTAAAGGCACACACTGAGCTTCAGGGCGTTCTTTTGTATCAGCTAACGTTGCAGTGCATGGCACATGTAGCACAGTTTTAAGCCTCAAGTCTATTTTGGGCCACCTGCTCCATGTTCTGAATGTATGCCGTCTATACAGAACACCATTTCCCTTATGGTGCTAGTAAGGCACCCAAATGTCGCTGTCTTGAAATTTGTCACTGCAACAGTCCTAATATGGACAATACATTCAAACTAAAAAAGTAATTTTTCTACCTGTTTAAAATGAAACCCTCATTAAGATTGACTATTTGGAAAAAAACAGGTCCCTATCTTCTCATTTAGTATTTAACTATTATTTATCATTTATATATAAAAAAAAAAACATTTCATGTATCCTACTGTTAAAATCAAGAAGAAAAATGTTTGAAACTACAAATAAATGTTTTTCTTTGTTAAATTCAAAAAATATCTTAGTTTGATCTCAGTCCTTAGTCAATCTCACTAGAGCTAAACAATTTGAAGAATATATCTAAATGTGATTTTTCTGACCAATGTTGTGACTGAGATTTGAACTGCAATCATTTTCTATTAATGATGGTCCAGTCCTGATTTTCTGGACAAGAAAACCAAAACATCCACCTTTTCTAGCTTGATGTTTCTATGCTGAACATTGCTTGCCAGACTGCCAATTAGCTGTAGGTGTCAAACACCATATATGGGTGTTTAGATGTGATGTAATCTTTGATGTTGCCACAGACAGACAGTCAGGAGACCTGGGTTTGCAGAAAAGATGGTTTTATTTGAAGAGCTCAATCCAGTCTGCAAAAACCAGGTTGGACCCAGGGCTTTTAACTCTAAATCTTCCCACCCCTAAGAGAGTCACACAGACATCTGAATCAATGTTTAACAATGAATAACATAAAACTACAAAATAAATCAAAATAAAACAATTCCCAACAGATGCTTGTGATTGGTTTAACTCAGGGGTGTCCAATCGTATCCGCAAAGGGCCGGTGTAGCTGCAGGTTTTCACTCCATACAAGCTGGAGCACACCTGACTCCCCTAGTTTAATTATTTGGTCTTAGTCTTCAAACAATTCATCAGGTGACCTCCTGCTTTGTTGAAGTGAAATCCTGCAGCCATACTGCCCCTTTGTGGATAAGATTGGACACCACTGGTCTAACTCATCTACAGGCAGTGCACAAGCTCAGTGTTATTGAGTTAAATTTCTGCACTTAAAACTTAAGAAGATATTGTTGATAATGTAGCCAATTAAATAAAACAGATTAATAAACAGACTGACAATAAACTCTTGTGATTTGAAAATTTTGATATTAAAAAAATCTTTTAGGCCTAAATCTTGCATCTAAAGTTCTTTACAACAGTAGATTTGACAAAACTCTGGGAAACACTTAGTTCAGCTTAACCTGAAATTTTAGTGCATAACTCAACTGCAACATTTGTTAAGAATTACTATGTAATGTTGAATTTCCAGTTTAAAATGCTATGTTACTGAGTTGGACTATACTGTTGATGCTATTAGAAACATGGCAGGTTGAAAACAACAATGACAAATTTGTGTTTTGCATTTAAAGCATGGATTTGTCAATTATTATAACTACTATTAAACTGAGTGAAGAACTGAAATGCAGCCCCAAATATGAAACCTTGCACTTTCAAGGGTTAAAGCATTTTCCTGCTATTCTGATCACAACAGAGTTTAAAAACTCTAATTAAAATGAAGAGAGAGACAGAGGTGGGAGGAGGTGGGTTAAGGAGTAAGAAGTGAAAATTAGTGGGAGAGATTTGTGGGAGGTGAAGAAGTGACAGGAAGGGGAAGAAAAAGGAAATAAAGAATGAGTAAGAGACAGCACTAACGAAGGCAAAGTGTAGATATACACTTACCGACTTATTCTAAAATCTCATAAAATATTACACAGACACAAGCGTGAAATAAGAAACATATCTGAAAGTAAGCCAAGCTGAAGGAGACGATTTTACGCACCAGAGAACGATCATGATGAGACTTGATGAAGACTGGCTGTCTTGCATTCACTTCCCTCTTATTTGTCTGTCTGTTTGTCTTACCTCCTCCTGGCATCGCTTCCCCCTAAGAGCTGCACACACCACAAATAAAAAGGGTTTCATAATGTCTGCCTGAGTGAGTTTGTTTTGCTGTCAGCTGTCCAGATGGATCAGTACTGCCTCACTACTTTGTTGTTCCCTTTAGCAAATTCACCAAATGTGGAATATACACACAAACAAACAGCTCTTAATCAGATACAGTGATACACATTCCAATTTCACAGATCCTCTTTAGTGCACTGAAGGGTCATTAGAGGCATTAGTGCAAGCAGAAGAGCCACAATTTAGGTTCATACACACGATGCACACATTCAAGTCTGGTCAGGTCTTCTTGTGGGTTGCAAAAAGTATGAAGAGGTATAAAGAGGACCCACTGATGGACAAAACGATACTAATGCTTGGACATTCTTTCGTTTGTTTGTTTATCAGGTGCAGAAAAGCCAATGCCCCCTGTACTGATTACAAAATAAACCTGACTTTGACCACCACCAGGTGGTTGGCAGCACATACACACACACACACACACACACACACACACATCTCACAATTAAAAGAAATGTGTGTGAAGCTCCTGGAAAAAATCCCTTCTGATGTTTATCAGTCTAAAAGGGTGACAAAGCCATTACCAGAATCAGAGTCATATTATCCAAATAAGCAAAGTTTGAGAAGGTAGCAAGCCTCCCTAAGCGTGACAGCAGGTCACAATCTTAACAACAGAAAATCTTGGTCAGTGCTCATAACCACCATATAGACTGGATCCACCTCACAAAACCACTGGAGACAAACTCATCTCAAAACTGCTCATTTAAATTTTTTAAAAAAGCATCTTGATATTTCTAGAGACCTAAAATAGAGCGGGGCAATGTGCAGACTATAATAGTACATCATTATTTTGACTGTTAGTTTCAACAGCCCTATTAGTGATATATTTGATAGATGATCACTATGTTCAAGTTTTTTTATTATAGTTTGTGCACTTTACTCATGGTATTCAGGATGTGACAGTTAAAAATATAATGTACTTCATTTACAGAGTGCTTAAAGTGATTATTTTTAAAGAACCATTTAAAATATATAAATAGTAAAATTTGAACAGTAAATTTTCTGGAAATGTGGTTTCCATCTGTACTGTAAAAAATTCCAGTCATCTTTTCCAACTTTTCATCTTGGTCAAGATTTGATTACAAAGTAGCAATAGCCCATTTTTAATATAAAATCACTTTTTTAGAGTTATTTCAAGAAAACCTGAACATCATGTGAATATACAGTGATTCTGGCATTTAAAGATTTCTGTTTATTACAAGGAGCACACAATGGCACAATGTTTTAGAATAGCTCTGGTGCCATTTTCAAAGGTCTTAGTCTGAAGCCTTGTAATTTGGTAGATTATTTGGTAACCTGTTTGTTGTGTCTGTTGTTTGCATTGTGTAACAAAATTTATAGTAAATTTATGCTGCATTTGTTTTCGGTCACCTCATAGACAGACATTTCACCCCTACAACCTCGGCCACAATTCGAACACTGCTTAAAGACCAGACTTTGTATTATCTGTAGCTTTCATATTATTAGAGTTTATGCTATTCTTAGTCAAGTCAAAGTTTATTCATATAGCACTATTTATAATAGGCGTTGTCACAAAGCAGCTTTACAGAAAAATCCAGCTCTAAGCCCCCATGAGCAAACCAATGGCGACCGTGGCAAGGAAAACTCCCCAAGATCAAGAGGAAGAACCTTGAGAGGAACCAAGACTCAAAAGGAGAACCCATCCTCCTTTGGTCGACACTGGATAGCAAAAGAATAACACAAGAGCAGCATGAACAGAGAATAAGGTTTTAACGGTAGTATAAAACATGAAAATACAGAGAAGGGAAAAAGCAGGCGAGGATTGCACAGTGCTGTACAGTAGGAAGCTCCATGGTGGTCGAACTGGTCCAGAAGGCGGGTGAGCAGTGGCCACCTGATCAAGGCAGAAGAAGCAACACCATCAGGATGGGCAGCTGTTCAGCTCAGCAAAGAAATACACAGACAGTAGTTCTGTTAAGAGAGACTGATTACGGTATACAGTGTTAAAAGAGTGCAATAGAGACTCTGGCAGGTCTTAGCTTTTCTACAGGCTTACTTGTTTAGTATTCCGAACATGTCTGGCTTAACTAACTGGTTACTGACTTGTATGTGTCTTGCCCAAACAGAATTCAAATCGAACTGCACGTAACTTTAAAGGGGTAGAGGCATTTGTACATTCTTCCATTAAGTTCAGCAGTTATGGTTCGTTCTTTTGGCAGGAAGTCCACCCTGAAGCCATCATCTTCTTATCATTGACGTTCTTGCCTGAGCTAAAGAAAACATAAACAGTATTTCTTGAAATGTACCTCACTTTGTTATGATCTTTTATTTATCATATAATCCTTTTTACCTTGAAACAGATAAATGTGTGTAAAACTTGGTGCTTGTTATTTTGGCCCTGTCATATTTTGACCACGCAATAACATTAAAACACAGACAGGAGGCAGATGTTTTTTTTGGCACTGAATAGGCGTGCACTTTAACACACTCTGAAAGGTCAGAGACAGACACAGAAAGAGGAAGGGGAGGAGGCCGAGCGAGAGAGGGTAATGTTTTCCATACAATCTCTTATGCCAACAACATTGTATAAAAATTAGGCAAGGCTTTTTCTCTTCTGTGCTGAAGCACTGAGCATACTGAGTGTGTTTTGCTGGTAAAATGTGAAATAGTGCTGTGAAGGTAAATGGCTTGTTCTGACCCTGACCTAGTCTGTCTATCTGATAAAAGAACAGAACTTGACCTGATTTTACGCTCTTAAGCCCACCCCGACCCCAGCAGTGAACCAGCATTCATGGATTTGTTGATTCTTCAGGGGGCAAAGAAATCAAAGGCAGCAATGGCGACAGACCCCTTTTTATAAGACTGTAGTTTACAGTAAGCTAAGTCTGGCGCTCTCCACCACACTGTGAAGCCACACTCTGCTTTGTGGTCACCATCCTGAATGATGCGTCAGAAAGGGCGGTGAGTAGGAGGATCACAGTCAGCAGTATCAGAAGTGGGAAGAAGAGCCAGTCATCATCCAGTAACAGTGTTACTGCAGTGAAATAAATCTAGTGGAATTAGAAGTAGCTACAAAAAGTCAAGTAAAAACCTCCAGAACTGTAGTGGAACTTCTGGATATTCAGTGTCTCTTTCAGCATAGAAACTGAAGTCTGTTTGGGATCCTTCAGTCTTTATACAAAATGCTAAAGAGATGTGAGCAACAGTCAAGCAGTCCAGGAGCTGAACTAACAAAACAGGATGAAATTAAACCCAAAAAAGGAATCTAAGACTAAATATGAAGATCTACAACAAAACTGAAGAAAAAGTAGATTTTATTTGTATATTGTTTTTCACTTTTTTAATTTTTATACAAAAATACCACAGCAGAAGTGAAGGTATTTGTAAATATTTAGAAAGACAAATTCATAAAGGAGTTCTTAAGTGCAGATGAGTAAAAGGGACTGACTGTTACCCACATCTGTGTGTGGTATCACACATTGGTTAAGTCTACAGCCGCTGAAGGAATTTGGCTACTTTAAAAGTGCACACATTGCTGACATGCTGCCATTCAACTGAGCACAGCTTGTATTATTTACATAAAAAAAGCATTGCCAATGGAATGGGACGCTCTGGAGCCTGAGGTCACCAAGCCAAATGCCAAGCATCAGCTAGAGGGGTAAAAAGCCCCCCCCCAGCATTGGACTGTGTAGCAGTGGAACTGCGTCCTCTGGAGTGATGGAGCTCCATCCAATACTTCAGGGTTGAACCACAGTGGTGTTTGTGATCCACAACTAATCATTACCATCAGCATCTGATCTTACTAATGCTCTTGTGTGCAAATAAGCCTTCCCAGAAGATTAGAGGCCATTACTGCAGCAAACTATCAATACCTTTAATTTCTGAAGAAATGCTGGATGAGCAGGTGCCTACAAACTTGTAGATAAATACATTATCTGCATTAACTGCTGTGCACAAGGTATTGATATAAAATGAAGTGTGAACTTAGGCATGTGAGTGGAGTTACTGCTGGGTCTGATAAGAGAATTCTTAGGAAGGTAGCAGTGAGAGCCGCACTGGGCAGAGATGTGGAAGGAGGGTCATTCCTGGCTATCTGCAGGAACTGAGTGAGCTTCAGTTTGAATGAGATACGGAAAAAGAATGGTTGGCTTGTTGATCAGTGTAAGTACTTATCACACTATGTAACTCAAAAGACAAAACAGAGTTGAGTGTTTACTTTTTGGAAGTCTTAAATCAAAAGCCATCCATATAAGAGGAGTTCACATATCTGTGTTATGTCCTTTTCAGTTTCATTTTGTTTACTTCTTCAAATTCAATACAGTTCAGCTAAGCCTCAACAAACAGTACTGTACAAAGGTCTCAATGGCATCTGAGAAGATGATATGTAAAGCTATTTATCTGAGAGGTAGTTAGTGTGTTATCTTAACCATTTCCAGACCTCTCCTCGAGGAAGTCCAGTTATCAAATCAAATCAAATCAAATCAGATTTATTGTCACATCACAAGAGTACAGGGACACAGGTGAGTGAAAAACTTGAGTGCGAGTTCCACAAATTATGCAGAGAACAGTATTTACACATAGATAAACAAAACTATAGATAGGATAGAAGAATAGATATAACCAATTTAACTAAAATATATACATATAATCTTACACAATAACTTAAAAATAATAATATTGCACCGAGACATATAATATTGCACTGGGAATGTAGGGTGGGTGTAATCAACTATATACTATATATAGTAATTGATATTACAATGCTATGTGGATGTGCAAATAATCACACTAGGTGTGGAGGTAGAAGATGGTACAGTAGGTGGCAGAGTATTTAGTAAAGTGCAAGGTACAGGAAGTTAAGTGGAAGCGCAGGGGGAGAGTATTGTCTTTGGATAGGTATTCAAAGTCCAGCTATGCAAGTAAAGTGCGGGAGTACAGTGGGTGCACGTACGTGTAATGGGAAGGGTTGTAATGGGAAGGGTTGGGCTGGGCAGAGCAGTGATTACTGGCTGTTCAATAGCCTGGTTGCATTGGGGAAGAAGCTGTCTTTGAGCCGACTGGTTCTGGCTTTTAAGCTTCTGAGCCTCCTACCACTCGGCAGCTGAGAGAACAGACAGTGACTAGGATGGGAGGGGTTATTATAGTTACCATCCAAGACCTTCAGCTTCAGCTAATCAATCCTTCATTAAATTAAATCAGGTGTGCTGTTGTGCAGTGAGAAGTGCAGTGAGAAGTCAGGAACCAAACCTGTGATATTCTAACCAAGATATCAATAATTTTCTTGTTATGCTTTACTGTATTTGTTTATTTGTGTTTATTCTAATGTCATTTACAAACTGCTGAGATAAACAGGTTTAAACATTTTTCATGGCTGCCTAAAACTTTTGCACACTACTGTACATGGTACAGTACTGTGTTCAAAGATTGAAACCACTGGCCATTTTAGGTTATGAGCATTGCCACACGCTCTCTCTCTCTCTCTCTCTCTCTCTCTCTCTCTCTCTCTCTCTCTCTCTCTCTCTCTCTGTGTATGTATGTCAAACTCTCTCTCTTGGGGGTTATTGTTAAATGAACAGGAAGGAAAGTGAACAAATGGGAGAGGAAAGGGGCAGTGGGGGTTTCCACAGAACAGTGTGAGGGGGAAAGGTGTGGGTGAGATACAACTGAGAAAGAGAGCAAGAGAACACAGACCAAAAAAAAAGACAGAAAGAGAGAGGGGAAACATAAGAGCATAAGCTCGTTCTGCTTGTGGCCGGACAAGCTGACGCAGAGAGAGAACAAAGTGGCTAGAGGCTGAGCTGACGGAAGAGAACTGTGACGACAAAAAGAATGTAAAACACAACGGCAGTGCGGTGGAGAACCGAAGAACGCAAACTAAAAAGAAGGAGAGCATAGGAGAAAGAAATTAAAGCCAACACAAAAAACTTATTTCAGGAAACAACTTCTAGAGACTAAGTATCTGTAGAACCGCTAGCTGTAGTGACAGAAAGAGGTCAAGAGCAGGTAAAGACAAAGCCAGCTGACGGTCCAGCAATGAGCACCAAAAGCTGCCCGGACCAACATGAGCACAATGGACAATGCTGTGACTTCTGTCCAAAAGGTGAGACAAATAAATACATATCCTGAGAGTATTTTTTAAGAGCTAATTATCTTGAGCACAGTACAATATTAACCATTTCACACTATACAATGCTATCTTCTAAGCCCTCATGTATAGGAGGTCTCTTATGTCCTGTGTCTCTGCATTTGGACTATTTATCTTCTACACATTTTCTCAAGGAGAGCAGAAATTTAACATTAGTTTAAAACGCTGCTGGCGCCAAAAAGCTAAACAGACTGAAGTGAAAATAAAAGCTGTTTTTGAGACCTGAAAGCATCGCCAAAGCAGGAAATACTGCAGCTTAAACTAAAAGCCCTGAAGTGTAGAACAGGAGAGTTTGAAATACCATCTAATCACACCGGTCAATTTACTACTGTAACAGGGCAGAAATCAGTCTGTCTTTTCCACAGGGACATATGTATCAACTGACTGTACCAACTCCTCAAAAACAAAGTGTAAGACGTGTCCTCATGAGCACTACACAGAAGAGAAGAACTATATGCATGACTGTCTGCCATGCAAGCAGTGCCATCCTGGTAAGTCAAATTATTTCTGAAGACATTTAAAAGAAACAAACATGTACAACTCATAAAAAAAGAAAATTCCTGACTCATTAAGAAAAGCACACATTCACCTGACTAAATGGACACTTCATAATATTTAAGACTTTTTGATCTAAAGGCCATTGAGGGATGGGCAGTATGATGATATTTATCATTATCATGATACATTATGTCACTGTATGCCTTTCTGAACATTTCACAGACATTCTCAGTACTTAAATAACACTGACAAACTGCAGAGACAAACTGAGAGCATAACTGCATTTAGTGCAGTATGCAAAACATTGAAGAAAAAAAAAATTGGTTTTTGATTTTTTTTATGTGACACTACTGTCTTTTTTGTCTGTTCCAACTTAAAGAAATGTTGGGATATGTATCTTTTCAATATGATCAATATTACTGTCTGCCACAGTATGAGTTTTTTTCAAAAACAAAAATACTCAATATAATTTTTATGCCCCAAACAAGTAGCTTTAAGCAGCAAACAAGGTCTTAGCATAAGTGGAACTTCAAGTCTGCTGAAGAAGCATCTCATGTGGCTCCTCAGGAAGCTGTTCGAGAAAATGGCAAGAGTGTGTAAAGAATCTAATGTGTGTTTTGATGCCTTCACTGTTATTCTAAAATGTGGAAAACTGGAAAATGTAAAGATGTAAAGAAAAACCATTAATGAGTGGATAAGTCTTGGCCTTTCATGCCAATCTACCACTCTTCTCCTGAAAAGGTGTTATTTATCCTGCTCTTTACCGTTCCTCTGTTTTATAACTGTGTATGTGTTTGGTTAATCAGAAAATCAGATCGTGCTAAAGCCCTGTCAGCAGCACAATGACCGACAGTGTGGGTGCAAGGAAGGCTTCTTCTGTAGTAGTGGTTCTCCGGGTCACTGTGAGCACTGCCTTGCACTTACAGTCTGCCCGCCAGGAAAAGGAGTATCTGTTCAATGTGAGTCTCACAACCCACACAAACACACACTCACTCATTCATCTCCACTCTCCAGATGCTCCTATGATTCTTCATTGCATATTTAAAACATTAAATACTTACAGGGCCCAAATCCTATACTTTTCTGCATTTTATTTTTACCCAGACCTCTTATGATGACTATGTAGGTTTATATGCCAAAAACAGTCATAAAGTAGTCTATTGGAAAAATCACTGGCTATAACTTTGGAGTGAATAGGCAGATATATGGAACTGTGTGGGGTTTTCATGACATCACAAAAACAATGAATTGAAAACAGGCTGATTTACAGCTTAGTTTCCATATATAGACTTTATGGACTGGAGAGAAAAGGGTCTGTTTTGAAGCTTTACCAATGTCTATTTACCATGTGAAGCTCTTGTATTTAAATAAAAACATGAAAAAATTATGTGGGCCCTTTTGATCCAAACCCAGCACACACTTATTTCCCACCCAATTGCTTTCCTCTGTTTAATCCCTTAAACCAGTGGTCTTCAAACTGGTCCTCAGGGCACTGAAGATTTGCTCCAATCTAACTCACAATGCATAAGGACAGAGCAAAAATGTGGACTGTTCTGAAGACCACTGTTTTACACTCTAAGAATTAGGACTGTAAAAATGTATTCACGTATTGTGATACATTGATCTAAATGCATAGTATAAACATTAGAAGAAATAATAATCCGTCATAAAAATACTCAATAAAGATGTGCTCTGTTCTCTGGTTATTTTCAAATGGAAAAAGGGAGGAACGCTTGGTGTGTTGATGTAAGATTATACTGTTTTTCCGATTTTTCACTATTGTTTAAATAATTCCTCCTGTCACATTCACAGTATTTAGTGCTTGATTTTTTAACTGTTCTTAATTTTACAAAAATAACCAAATTAAATCCTCTTGAGGTCTTAGTTTTATACTTCTTCTAAAGATTCATTAGTGGGTCCGAACTTCCATTCTGTACACTCGTAAATATATCTTACATTTTAGTCTCACAGTAGTTACTGAATAATAAATCTAGAATTTAAAGAATTAAAAGCAGATTAATGAGAATAAATTAAGATGTGCCTCTTTTCCAGTCACCAGTCATAGTGACACCACCTGCAGCCCCTGCGCACCAGGAACTTTTAGTGATGTGGAGGATTACAAAACACCTTGTCACAATCACACCAAGTGAGTACCACTGCCTCACACACACACACAACATATACACTCCTCTATAATCAATCACAGACACAACTGCACACACACACAAACACACACACACAAGCAGACACTGAGAATGATGGTCAGACATGACGTGTAAGCTCTGTTCTGAAACTAGCACAGGATGAACAAGGTCACATTCTCATTTAAACTTTAGAAGCCTGCAGTTATTACTGTCCTTTTGCTATACATTTTAAATGTAATTACTTAAGTAAATGAATAATAAAAGCAATGAATTATATTTACATTGGATTTACATTCTATATCAAGGCATTGGAGTCTGCACTTCTACAGTGTAAAAAAACACTAAAAATTAATCTCAACTTAAAATTATAAGGCAATTTATTGCACAGCTTTTCTTGAGTTAAGGACACTAAAGTTCACGCAACTCAAACATCTTAACTTAGTCAAAAGTCCTCCTAATTCACATTTTTTAGTTCTGCATCTCATTTAGACAAACAATAAATATTTATAAGACTTCACACCAATCACACCAGGCATTTCTCTTCTTGGGCTTCTGGTTATGGGGAGCTGTGCCATCGTTGGGGTTTAGAACTCACAGTCGTCTGATGTTGGAGTAAATGCTTAGGCAATAAACAACAATCTGAAATAACTCCTGCAGTGCAGCTGACTTAGTGTTCACCCCCAGTGTCAGGAGGTTGTGAATTCAAACCCCAGTGATGCTGCAGGCTTTATCTGTGAGCCCAAGCAGAGGAAATACCTGGTGGGACTGTGCGAGGGAAAGTGTCCCAGCTAATGGGATAAGTAGAAACTGAAATAAAGCAGAAACTGATATATATATATATATATATATATATATATATATATATATATATATAGTTTACGTAACATGCAGAACTAAAAAATCTAAGTCAGGATTTTTTTTACTAAATTTAGAACTTTGAGTTGAGTTTGAGGAACTCCACTGTCCTCCAAGTTAACTTAAGAAAAGCTGTGTGATAAGTTACCTTTTCATAACTTTTCATTTTCACAGTGTGACTTATGGATGTACCAATCAGGAATTTTTATTGCCAATTCTATTTTTTATTTATTTAAATTGGACCATTTTTTTATTACAGCCAGGATTATGCAGGATAATGAATGCACTGATAAAACAGGGCTCAGAGGAACAATCCCAAAACATTCAAAGAAAACAATTTTTCTTTTACATTTTAAAAAGGCTTGTTTTCTTATAGAGTGGGGTTGAGGTTAGCATAGTTTAAGAAGGTCAGCCCTCATAAACTGCCTCTAAATCTGTTTCTCTACAATGCACCATTTCATATCAAATCACTCTGCATGACTTTGTTTACATCTCAACAATTGAATTATGCAGAATGGAATTTCCCTTTAACTAATAATATCACGTTTATATACCTCCCACTCCCACCACCCCCACCAGTCATCGAGTGAAAACGCTCAGCTATCTCAGAGACTCTCAGTCATACTGTGTTTCATTCTGAAATGTGTCACGGTACAGAAGGCAAACGCGTGATGATTTCTGATTCACTTTGACTTTAGGTTAGCGTCAAGCTAACGGTGGTCTTCATTTACTTTCCCACACAACGCTTACCAATACTTATGGCAGCACTAGCTTAAAAAGACATTTAAATGTTGCAGGGCACTGAAATAACATATTCTGTTGTATGGTGCCCCTTTATAGTGAATGGGTCACTGAATATTTCAGTTTAAAGCCTAGGCAAATTTTTGTGTACCTTAAATAAGTAAGAATAATAAAATAAAAAGCCTGGAGATGAGACGGGGTGCATGGAGTCAGTATAACTTAGAAAATATAATTTCAATTAATTATGATACAATTTTGTTCTCTGACTAAAGGTACTGAGATGTACCCTTGAGAATATCACCCCAGTGACAAGAGCGGTACTTCCCCAGTGACAGTTTCATACCTTTTCTCTGGTTTAACAAAAGTGTGTTTTTACGTAGAGTATGTTAATATGATCAAGTGTTAATAGTGAGAACCATCCCACATGGAAAAAAAAATATATGGGCACATATTTTTATATATATGAAATACATTTCAAACAAATTGCTGTCCATGCTGTAATACATTCCAAACACTAAAATGCATTTCAGAATATACTGCCATATTGACAAAATATATTTTAAAATGTATGGGGAAATTACACACAGAAATGTACCATAGAACAAATAACTACATAAATGTTTTCCTTAAACACATTTGAAAATGTATGAAAATAGACAAAATACTTGTCTAATGCACGTTGCTGCTGGGAATATCTGGAATATCTTTTTCTACACACAGTTCACTTGCTGTCATCAGTGTAGCAGTGGACTGGCCTCACTTATGTATTGTTGCTTATCTTATTTTGCTAGTTGTGAGGAGTTAGGTCGCCATTTGCTGACCCCTGGCACGGCCACTACAGATGCCAAGTGTGGAGACGTCATCCAGAGTGAGTAAAACTTCCTCACCAAACCTTTCTTCTGTACTTCAGCTAATTAGAGCCACTAAACAGCAGTTTATCTCAGGAATATCCAGGTCGGGGCTAAAAATTCACACTGTCTCCTAAACCACTCATGCTGCCGTCTATACAGAACGTTTTACGGCTTTTGAGTGGGAGATGCAGAGTGTGACTACTCTTATTACACTCAAAACCACACACTGTGAACTGTATTATTGTGCTAGACTAAAAACAATACCGGACTGAATCCGATACCGGGTGTTGTGCTGATACGAACAGAATATGCAGGAACGGATACAGGAGAAAAAAAAAGGATAAACTCAAACTGATTCTGTTACAAATCTATCCTGAAAGAACACATAATTCCTTGTATTATCGCAAAATGTAAAGCAAAGTAATGGTAACATCAGTAACATGATAATGTCACATGATAACAGGGTGGAGTAGTAGAGTGTTTCAGTATAATATATAAACATTTCAAATACCTCATTTTAAAGCTTTGTAGTTCTTTTAGTTTAGGGTTTTAGTATCAGTGTTGGTATCAGAAAAGAAAAAATGGAATCGTGCAATCACTACATTAAACTGCAACACTGTAAGAGTGATATAAGTCACATGGGGTATATTCCAAATCCCAGTGCATTATGGGGGGATTTGGTTTGGGGTGGTGCGTAGTGGAATCACACTATAAATCTGCAGGTTCTCGTTTTGAGGAAAAAATGTGCATTTGTAAATTTTCTGAAATGTATATACTGTCACATGCAAAAGTTGAATCACCTGGTCAAATGACTTGTTTTGTGAAAACAAAAAAAAATCTTGTGCAAGACACAAAAACATGGCATAATTTTGGTTTATTGGAAAAAAGGAAAGATAAAGCGTACCATAAATTTGATATCAGGAATTTGATTTGAATATGTAAAAATTAAACATTAAGTATCAACTATAAAAATTCAGTTTTTACTTCTAAGAAATGAATTTTTACTAATGTCATCCGTTTGTAAAATTCATTGTAATAAAATCAAATGGAACATGTAATTAGAATCTCTTCACTTAATTGGTTTCCAACGTTCAAACTGACTTTTCCACACACAGAACGGAATCACCATGGAATTTGACGCATAAAGAAGAGGCTATTTTAAGTACAGTGCCAGTTAAATCTGCAGTCTTTTTTCTCCTCTGTTCTGCTACAACAGCAGTTAGAAGATTTGTAAAAATGCTGCTCCATCCAAACAGATCAAAATGTGTCTTCTGAATTTTTCAGTTAATCAGTTGAGCGTGTGTGTGGTTTGTTGCATATGGGACCAAATATGTTTGGAAACATTGTAGAAAATATTATTTAATCCACATCGGCTTCTTACCAGAAAAATAACCATCAAAGTGGTTTAGGTATTACTTTCTGTGAGACTGTGTTGTACTATGAATTGCTACTGCCATATGTAAAGATAATAGCACAACCACGCCTCACGTCACAGTAAAACTCACTGATAATCCCTGTTTACAAATAAGCAAACCGCCATGCTATTTACTCTTAACACAATGGTGAATTTGCAGTGCGTTTTATGAATCTGTGTCTATGAATGTTTTATCTTTTCCAAATATGTTAAATTCAGGAAATAAACAGTAATTATGCATTAAAATGTGCAGAAGTGTTTCTCTGTAGAGGATGTGTCACTTTTCACTCCGGAAATCAACAAAACATGTAAATTGACCAGAGGTGCTCTAACATTTGCACATGCCTGTCCTTTAAGTATGATGCCCCTGGATTTGTGTGATGTGCTCAGTTTTCGCTTTATTATTATAGATACTTTTTCTTGTGTTTATCATGATTGGAGGTGATGATATGGTTTCTTCTTCTCATAGATTGTCCCTGGATGATTTCAACGGGTCTGTTGGTGGGGCTAATCATGACAATAGTCATCTGCTTTGTTGTGGCACTTCTTTATTGGAGGACTAAACGTAAATCACAGCAAACAGGTACGTTAACCATCACACTTTACTAATGCAGTAATGTGAGGCTAAAGTGTACGATACCGCAAAATATATCACGATACTTCAGGACACTTTCACGATACACGATATGCCTCACGATATTTAGTTCTTATAAGATTTAATAAGCTGACAGAGACAAAATAGAACCTGTAGGGCCACATATAAAACACTATGATGATAATAAAAATAATAATAATTATTATTATTATTATTAAGTCTACAACTACAATGATTTTAATCAATGTTTTACAGACTACGCTGCACTAAAACCCAGTTTTTCATGATAAAATATCATAAAACTGTAAAATACCATCATATCGCCCGCCGCTACCTGTGAAAAAAATATTAAATAATTAAAGCCCTTACCTATTTTTATTATTGTTGTGGTTGCAGCATTACATAATAAATTACATTTACCCTTAATTTACATTTCGTTTCGCCAAGTTCCAGTCTGCACTTCAGATGGTTTTTCTGTTTGTTCCAATGACAAACATAAAAAAAAAACTGCACACATTGGTAACTTTACCAAATTCAAATAATAATAATCTATCCTTTATATCCTTTTCTAGTAACAAGTTTAGAACCTGCTTTTTTTCCACAAACTTTCGCTTTTTTCAATGAACTTGAAACTTTTATCCAAAAAGCGCCCCTTTTTTTTGTCATTTGAGAAACTCAGTGTAATGTAGTGGGCGCTGACTAACAAGCAAGCTAAAATTAAAAAAAGACAAACCTTTAAAAAGGTCATTACGTTCATAAACGAGTATTACTAACACTCTTCCACCCTCTCCACATACACACACACACACACACACACACACACACACACACACACACTCTCTCTCTCTCTCTCTCTCTCTCTCCTACGTACTGACACACAACCACCCACACACTGACGCACATGCTCACGTAGACATACACACACTCTTGTGCAGCCACTAACAAACTCTCAGAGACTGACACACACTGTAACTCGCTTACACACACACACACACACACGCACACTGTACCCACAGGTACCAAGAGGAAGTGTCAGTAAACGCTGCAGTGGAAGAATGTTCACTCTCTTAACATTACACTGTTACGCACTGGAACAAAACAGCTAGAATACACATCAGAGCCATTACACACTATTTTTACACATTACACATCTATTTCTTTAAATGCACTAATCCTTATTTTCTGTCTTTTAGAATAACAGGAAAAACATATACATATATAAAATATATACATATAACACATATAGACGTATGAAGGGAGGAAATAAAGTGTGAAACAAGTCAAAACTTCTTATTGTATATTTTACATTATTAAAAAAATACCACCCTTTGCCTTGATGCAGCTTTTCTCTTGATATATATTAATTTAAATTTATATTTTTTATAACAGTTCAATTCATGCTCAATCTTCGATCTCAAATTTCAACATAATGTGATTTGAAGACACCAGCTTTCTCAATGCAATGCATCGTTACATTTATTATGTATTATTACACATTTCAAAGTGTTCAGTCAGCACTAACAGTAATGACAGAATTGACGGTGTAGATGTGATACAGGATGTGGACAGCAACTGTGACATAAGAGACCAAAACACACACAAAAACATACACTTGCTTTCTCTCTCTTTTGGAGCAGTGTGTAAGCTCTTACAGATAGCTGGGTGCAGATAAAGCCTGCGAGGAAGAGCAACGGCAAACCACATCCTTCTATTCAAGCACTCACTCATACAAGAAGAACAACTCATGCTGATTTAAAATACTGATCAACACACACTTGGCCCTAATGCTTCAACGGTAAAATATGCTGGAGTACAACCATTAAGAGCTTCAAAAATCATAAACACTCTGTACACCATGCAGAACTTAACAGGAAGCCAGTGTAAAGTGAATAAGACCAGAGTAATTGCCCATCATCACTTTCAAACCAGAGATGTTCATCTGTGTGAAACCCTAAATTGCTTGCTGCTTGTGTGTTCAGTGAGAACTTCAGAGAGTTTCATCCCGCCAGTGCTCCCTCCAGACATCATCAAGCACCCAAGGAGCCCTGAACAGCCATTCTTTCACAGAGGTAAGCTGGTGTCCTCTATACACACACACACACACCTTTGTATAAACGTCAGGCAGTCATAAATCATGTCCCATATGTGTAAGAGTCTTGCAAATGTTTCAACACCCTGGTCAAATTATGTGTTTTGTAGATTGTCTAAGTGACAATAACATAACATAACATACCTTCTACAGAGAACACAGTTAAATATGACCTTTTTCTGCACAATTTGATTTATTTGCTGAGTTTAATATATTGGAAAAAACTAGACATAAAATATAAAATGTGCCGCAACTTTTGCACAGGTCACATTTTATATTTTATTTCTTTTTCAATAAGTTAAAATCAGTAAATAAACAGTAATTATGCATTAAAATGTGCAGAGGTGAGTTCTCTGTAGAGGATGTTTACTTATTTGCCATTGGAAAATCAACAAAAGACTAATTGAACACTTTTGGACTGATGTGTTAGACAGCGCTCTCCACCACCATCATCAAAACACTAACCGAAGTAACACCTTTTAAAAGAAGTGTTCCATCTGTTCAGTACAGCTCCAGAGACTTGTAGAATTTATGAGGCGCCTTGAAGCTGATCCCATTACCGAGACGTTTTATGGTAGTTTTTCCTTTAGTTTGTCACCTGTCTCTACATACATGTAACTAGCTATATGTAACAATTCAGTCCCCCTTGTTCTCTCTGGTTTCCCAATAAGTTCTGGACATGAGCATTAGAAATACACTAAGACAAACACATGTACGCAAAGTCATACTCAGTGAAGGTGCTGTCTGCATTTGACTCTGTTTCCGGCTCTTAGCTGTCTGTCTGTACACGCACTGCTATTCTGAGAACTGGGGGAAGACACAAAGCTTCCAGACAGCTATAAAAGCAGAAGAGGCTTTTAAAAGTAGATCTTCATTATTCACGTGTATTCCAGTTTTCACACGTCTCATTTAAATCTGATGCCTTGGCACCTGATGCAATCTGGTGTCTCGGCATAACCTTGAACTACAAATCATGATCTTATCAGAACCACAGTGACAGGCCTATTTCTGAAACAAGGTCAATGCAAGTACATTGTACAGATCAAATCCTCTTAAGTCCATTTTTTCCTGTTTTTTATTTGATATTTCATTTGAAAATGTCAGCTCAGACCTTTACACTGTTGGAACATTTCATGATGAACGCATTAATAGAAATGATTCAGAATTTCTTGGATTAAAATTTCACTAAGAACATTGCCTTTTGTAGATAAAGCTTTTATCACAGCAGTGATATGAATTTGCGTGGCCTGATAACATTCTACATTGACATTGTATGGCAAAGCCCACAGTGCGGTGTGCTGAAACTGGGGTTTCGGAATGAGCGGGGCTGACTGAAAGTGTTACAGTATGAGCCGACGTCAGTGCTGCTGCTCAGACTCAGTGAGATCAGCTTGATAAGTGTGTGTGCAGGGGAACAATCTCACACCACAAATGCAAATACAGTAACTCCAACTGCTGCTTCCCCACACACAGTGCACCTACGCCATTGACCGAAGCCTTTTGAAGACTGAGCCTCACACGTGGGCCTGCTGCAAACCAGCCAGGCAACAAAGACAAGCGAGGCTGTAAAATTAAACCCCTGACTTTGACAATACAGCACAGGTTATTTCCCAGCTTACGGCATCATAAAACAAAACGCAATACTTTTCTGAGTTAAAATTAAGTAATATAGTTTTACATTTCAAAACGTTCATCTCTGCAAATTAAGTTTTGCGAGTTTCGCAAGCAATTATGTCAACACAGAAATCCGAATTCATTCTTTTCCAAACATGCAAATGTTTAAATGAAATAGGTTGTTTCTCATAATAACTTAGTAAAAATGACTAACTAAAAAGCTGTGTTAATGAGATCTTTTATTAAATGTCATTGCATTTTTACACTTTTTTTTAATTTATATCAGACTGTGCACGTTTCATTCATCATTCAATTCAATAGTCATAATCTGAAATGGGAAATGAAACTTGAGAATATGGACTGAAAGTCCCTAAGAGCTGCATGGTTTTTCCTACACAGTGGCCTACAATATCACACCACATTTCTAGCAATGGTTAATATCACATATAGAGAATTCTGTAATAGGTTTAAAGCAAATTCCACACAGATACTAAGATACAAGCCCAAACCCTACAACCCTTACAAACTGAATAAATGCTGAAAAGATAAGAAATACTCATGCAAGAAGGAATAGTTCTTTGGTAGTGAAACACCTCTTTACATTTTGATACACTTCTCCTTCTGTTCTGATGTAGTGAACTAAGCAGTTCTGCCATTACTCACTGATTATTCTGCAGCTTTCTTAGAAATATTAAAATTAGAGTGACTGGAATTAAGGAAGTGATAGCATACATTATAAGGTGATATGTGCACTTCAATGCACTGGAATAATTTAGCAGTGTAGCTTTCTTTGATGTCTACACTCATCACAGCTCAACTCCCCACAGATCAAAATGATAAAAACAAAAAATATGGTTTCATGACGGGAAGTCGTTCAGTTCTGTTATTTCTGTTAAAACAACAGAAATATGGAGTTTCATTAAAAATAACGAAAGCTCTAAGAGTGCTTTGAAAACAGCAGTGGGAGTCTGTATATCAATTAAAATGGAAAAAAACTTAATTCAAGCTGTGTTCTGATTTTAGTAAGTGGTGATTTTAGGTGGTAAGGTTTGCAGTAAGGTTTGTTTAATGTCAGTACAGATAAACTGAATCACGCCAGTCACATTGCAGTAGCCCTTCACCTCTTAACATGCTGACCGGCACCATATTTCATTCCACATTCAAATGTCACATTAACAAGATGAAGCTAAAAGGGGAATCTCGCAAATTTTTTTAATTTTCTGCATAATTCAATCATTGAGACGTAGACAACATCAATCAGAGTGGTTTGATGTGAAATGTGTCACTGTAGAGAAAACTCACTGACTTAGGTTCTTTATAGTGGTGGTAAAAGGAACCAGAGATTGTGATGTCTACACTCAAATACAGTCAACTTATTTACTATCCAAACACGTGGCTTTTCATTTTATATATGCAATGGTAAAACAGCGGCAAATCTGAAAAAAATGTTTTCTTTGGGGACTTTTTCTCCTTACGACGACCTGCATGTATCTCTCCACCCTGCATATATTGTAACATATGCTTTACACCAACAGTTTTTCTTAAAACTACAGTAAAAAACATTTCAAGCCTCAGGCAACATGTTTGTAACCGTTTCATGCAATAACTGTCTGTGAGGAAGCTTTAAGAGACAGATGTCTGCTTCCCATCACCGCCACTGTGAATAAAACTGTGACTTGGTAAGTGACTTTGTTTACAATCTTAAAAATAAGTGGAATCCCCCTTTAATGTAGACCCCCTGATTCCACATCCAACAGCAAGAGCAGCAGCATCAGGAGCAGCATTAAAGCAGTTTGAGAGCAACCATAGATCAGACTAGACATCAGACTGCCATAAATCAGACCAAAGATCAGCCCACTACAAGTGAGATCAGTGGTTAGACCACCTTGTGAAACTCAAGATTTCTCACTTGATTTTCAGATGAAATCTTCTCCAACACAGACGACTGCTGTCTGGACTGTGACGGCGTTACCTTGACAACGCTGACCGCGTCAGAAAAATACGCCTACTCAGCCAGTCAGTGTGAGTGTGGGGGTTTCAACACCAGTGACCCTTTCATTCTCCAGTCTGAACCGCAAGAGGACGAGTGGCCTGGAGCCTGAACACATCTGTTGTCATATCAATCAGTTCATTACCACAAATACCAAATCTAAACACATCATTTGTATATGAACTCATTATTTTGACTGATACTCTGTTCCCTTCATTAAACTTATTTCTGTATAATAAATCTTACAAACTTCTCTCAGTTCTTTGCATGCATTCATATGAGATTATTAGTGTACCATGTGCAACAATGAGAATGAGGTAGGGCCAGCCAATCAGTAAGTTTCATTTCTGTAAATGTGGTTAGTGTCTGGTTAATGTTTACAAAACTGTGGAATGTTCTCTTTGGTGTAATTTCAAGAGAAGAAAACAGAACACAATATTGTTATACAAGTTATATTACACAAGTTCTTTTAGCATATAACAGCAGGAGCTTTGAAAGCTAAAGCAATAAAGATTAATGCTAAGATAAATATCATCTGATATCATGATATATTTGAAAAAAATATGATTTTGAATTCTGTCAATGACATCAGTAACACTGACAAATATAAATATCAGTATTTAACAGTATTACTCATGTTACACATAATTTAGTGGCTGAACAACAATTACCTATTACTATCACTACTAGAATCAAATGCATAGAGTTACCTCCCTTCCATTTTGTTGAGCCTTAACTGGTCAGTCCTGGTCCTCTTCTCACTGTGGCAGCTTTCACTCTATCAGAGATAGATAAATGTCTGCTCTTAGAGTCTGAGGTGTCTAGTCCCTTCATTTTCACCACTGACTGAATGTACAAACTGTGAGCTCTTCACCCGCCAACATCAGTAACTCAGGCCTAACTTTGTAAAAATTAGATACTCGACAGAGTTACAGTCACCATGATGAGACAGACACAGCTGAGGTCTTTCTAACATCACTCACTGCAGACAGGCCTGCAGGTTTAACACGGGAGCTTATTAACTAGACTGATGTTTAGGACCAAACTTGTAAAGCACATGTACAGTCACCGATATGTTAATAAAACACGAGCTTTCAGTAACGTGAGGACATTTCACATGCCGCACTTCATGAAACATCCTTACAAGCCCGAGAAACAGGAACTGAATGACTCCCTGCTCCGTCCTGCCCTCCGGTGGCAACAGGCCATGACGACGAGAGAATGAGAGGCGACTCATAATTGAGCTACACTCCCCTCTAGTGGCCAGAGTTAGGAGTATGCAAAATAGTTTAGCTTTAAAACCCCAAACTATACTTTCAAGAGCAGAGGTTAAATTCTCTTTGTGCTTGTTAATTTTAGTAACCTGCAGATAATCCGTACTAGTAGCAATAAAAAAAAGATGAACTCCATTAAAATGAACATTAATCTTTTGGTCCTTTCTTGGCGTAAAGGTGCAGCAGCCATATAAAAGACCTCTAGTGGTAAAGTGGGTGAACTACAACACCGGGACGTTTTTTTACTCCTTGAACATCAGGACGATGCATGCCAGTTGAATCGACGAGAAGGGTCTGACTGCAGAGCCGCAGATTTACACCCGCAGTTTCACGTCAGCGGTTCAACCCATTAGTTTACCCAGAGCCACATCAGCTGTAGTTCGTGTAATATTTACCCTGTAAATCTCTATATGTGTTCAAGCCAAAGTTTGTTTTAGCCTAAAACTTAAAATATAACCTTAGCCCAAAGCAAATGTGTTGGAAACCCACATACAACGACTGTAATGTTGATTACCCAAAAGTCCGCTAAGAAAAAAACACAACCGTTGGCGCATGCGCTAAACGCCACTGGCTTGAATCTGTGGGGGTGAAACTGTGGCTCTGAGGCTCTGCAGCCAGAGATAATCTGGGGGGCGGGGGCGGGGGCGGTTCTTTTAGAGTTTGCCAGACATTACCACTTCCTAGCAATGAGGTTATTTAGATATAGATGATAAAAAAAATGTGTCATTATGGTAACGCTGCTTTAGAGGAGATCAAAGTAACGTTAATGTTACTCAGTATAGCCAATATCTCAACAGAGCACACTGAGTGTGGCCCGTTTCACAGCTAAAACACCACCGGGGAGTTATGTCCGGTCATACAAGACCAGTCTCCTATTTGTTTGAAGGGGAGAGACCTATAAAACCAAAACTAAAGCCACATTAACCTTGCAAATACATATTTGCAATCACTGATAAAATCGGGCAAACAGCATAAATAGCTTGTTGCATTTGACAAAAACACACAAAACACGAGTTTTCAGCTCATTCTTGCGCAGAACTCCGCAGCGATGGAGGAGGGGCTATTCCCGCTCGCAGCTTAAACAGTGAGCCGATTGGCTGTTTTTCTTGAAGGGCGGGACTTTCCCCGTAAACAGACGCCATGTTGAGCGTTAGGAGCTTTCCCCAGTTTATTTTTCACCCAGTGACCTTCTCCTCCTTTATAACTTCTCTGATTTATCTCAGAATGGTTGTGCTTATTTTCAAGACCTAGCTAAAATAACCTAGCTAACAGGTCACAGCACCACTCTCCCCCCAGCAAAAAGTACTGATAACATGCCATTACATTTAACTTATTTTCATAAGACTTTTCATGTCCAATTATAATCTCTGTACCTTATTATTTATGTAAGGTCAGCCATTCAGACAGTTAAACGCTTTATATGTATTGTGTTTACATACCTGTTCAAGAGAAACATTGCTAATTCCACGTTCAGCTTCAGCTCCTCTGCATGAACTCCCTCCATCTTGGAAACGTGCTTACAGTGTAGGTTCTTGTTTTAGAACGTAGAAAGTTTTTAAGCCAGCACCATGTATCTCTCCCCACTACAGCATTAACACCTACCGGTCGCTAACCAGACTTCGCCATGTTTTTTTTCTTAGCCAAGCAGATGGAGATGGGGGCAGGTCTTATAAAATAATAGTGCTGTTTCCTAAACGGGGTTTTTCAGGCACATGAAACACTTGTGCTGATGCCATTGCCAAAACAATTATTTATTTAAAAATCATGTTCTGCATATTTTCCAGGTTATTTGTACTAGTTGGAAAAGAAAAATAACAAACAGGCTACTGCAGCTTCAAGTCCCCCTAAACCTTCTAATACCACAGAGGAACACAAATCAAGACACAAAGCAACAAGTCAGAATGAAAGCTTTTATATTTAATAACAGGAGACCCAAAAGCAGGACGCTCAGCGATAATACTAAACTGAATGGGGGCATTTCACTAATGTGGTCCATCAGACACTGCACAAGTTATCTAAAAAAACAAATGTAAGCTGTACTACACAGGCGTGGCCTAGCACCAGCACTGTTGGACAGGTGCTAGCTGGAACACTGCTAACCAGTTTAACCCCCACTAAAACTCAGAGGATGTTAAAAGCTTTTGTAACTTTTTGTAGTGATCCACATGGCCATTTCCACTCCGGAGATGAGAGCTGTTCTGGAGGATACAAGTAAGTTTATCACTTTTAATTCCATTTACACCCTAAAAGCTACTGATTAAAAGGGGAAAGTTTAGTGTGGTTGTGTTCAAGTAAAGTCTTATTGAGGGCTGCTGTTCTTTCTGTTGTAGTCTCTGGTTAAACACTACTTCCTGTTGTTTGGTGACTGAGCTGTGTTGTGGCTGAATCATGCTCGCTCTTTTGGTTTCTCCTCAATCCAAATCAGAGTTCCCATGATGCTCTGGGCCCACAACCAGCCTCTCATTCTACTTTCTTAAAGACCTGCTTGGCCACCACATTCTTCACCCGCAGCTCCTAGAAAGACAGAGAAAGAGACAGAGAGAGAGAAACAGACAGACGATGTGTTACATCATTAGTTACGATGGAAAGATTCAGTTCACTGAATCGATTCCTCTAAACAGTTTAAATGAATCAAATGCTTTAATGATTTATTGATAAATCAAGACAAATCAAATAAGTCAAGACACATGAGACATATGAGACATATGTGCTGTTGCTACTCAGCAAGTGAGTGATGTTGCTACCTCTACTCACTAATAGAGTCAGACTCGGAGGGCACAAAGTACCAGCACATAGCTACAATCTACAGAGATAAAATGTAAACAAATTCAAAGAGCTTATTCTTAATATGGTACAGGGTATTTTTCAGTTTAGGGGGTTACACTGTACAAAGATAACTAAGATTACAAAGATAATTATCTGAATTTTATTTAAATCTTTAAGCTTAAGCTACAAAAAGTTTGATTCAGTTGGACAAAAGAATTAGCTCAACAGATTTACTGAAAAAAAAACAGTTCAAAGAATGATTCATGAGTTGGACGTCACTAGGATACATGAGACTGGGGGACACAACACGTGAACAGGAGATTAAAAAAAGATTTCAGCAAAACAAAAAGTGTTTTGTGTGTTTGGTCATCAAGAGCAAACTAATGCTGCTTGTTCACAATAGTTGCTGTGTTTCAGCCTTCTGCAGGACAAAACCTTTAATCTTCTTTTCCTCTCTTTCACCTGATCCATAAGCCTTCAGCATCATTCAGCATTCCACTCTGTTTCTCACCATAAATAAGATCAATAGCCTATGCGGGTAAACACGTGCACAGACACAGTCGTTTGCAAAAGTTTGAACACTCCTGGTCAAATCACGTTTTGTTTGATTTTGAAGTGAACACATCTTCTACAGAGAACACGCATAAATATGACATTTTTCTGCAAATGTTAATACAAAATTTCTATTTATTTGTTTAACAGTTTGAAAAAAATATGAAATGTGCCATACCTTTTGCCCAGACCACATTTTACGTTCTGCTTTCCCCCAATATCGCTGCTGTTGAGAGAAAACCTTGTATCTCTATTTTTGACGTTTTTAAATTTTTGATATAATTTGAAAATGCCTGTTGCCCTTTACATTGTATGTAAATTTAAAGAACAGACCAAAAGAAATGGGCCAAAATGACTTGGAAAAAAGTCTGGTTCTGTTGACCTACATTAAAAGTAAAGTAGGTTTTTTCCTTCTCCTGTAAAGTTATCATTTTGGAGATAAGTTTTCTTCTGGTAACAGTGATATGTTAAATTGAGCAAATAAACAGTAACAGTGTTTACTTATTTTCACTTAGCAAATCAACAAAACATGGAATCAGTAGGTTGTGGTGAGTAATTTCTTCTAGCCGGTCATTTCCTTGAAACAGAAATGACACCAAATGTAAGGTGCCACCATCCAAAAGACAGATGATTCTAATTCAGGTCAACATCATCTATTTTCTAAACACTGTATGCCTGCTTTAGCCATTAGGTGTCTTAGAGTAGCAACACAGATCCAGGATCAGTAATCCCTCTTTTGCAATGAATACAGTTACTGGAAGAGGAGGGAAGGGAAGGGAAGGGTGTTGCACAATCAAAGCAGAATAAATCTGACTAACTTGATCACTCCTCCAGCACACACCCTGTGTTTCATCTAGCAGGTCAGACTGAGCCACTCAGCTTTAACTAGCATTTTCTTTTAGACTTGGTTTGGTTTGAACCAACAAAATTTGATTAACAATTTTCCCCAGTCGAAATGCCAAACAAGTCTTACACCAAGTGAACGTCGACATTTTGTGCAGTTACAACCACTACAGAGACTGCAGGCAGACTGCAGCCCTCTGGCTCTTTGATGGTATACAAGCCTGAGGCAGTTCTATGCACAAAAGATGACACAGCCAGCAGACAGTAGTGGTGTAAGTGTCTAGTTTCACAATGATTCAAATGGATTACGATTCTTTAGAAAATTATTCAGTGTATCATGAAATCTCAAATTTCTCTACAATACCATTCGATTTTTTAAAAACATTTTTACAGTGAAATACAGACAATAAAAAAAACTTTTTTAGCAAAAAAATGAGAGCATCTTTTTAAAAGAATACTACAATTAATTATTATTAGGAATGCTTGATTGTAATCAGGAAAGATCAGAAATAACATGAGGCAGATAAGTGCACATGCCCTGTATTTGAATGCTTATATTGTAGCATAATTATACAAGACTCACTCCGCCAAATAGGCAGTTAACTCCAAGTCAATTCATCCCAAAATCAATTCAGCTTATTTGCCGCTCTGAACTCTCTGAACACTCTGCCATTCTGAAGGTTGTGTTTAGTTATCATGTTTGTCTTCTTACCAGGTGGAGCAGGTTTCCCTCCAGCCAGTGAGTCCATCCCCTGCCTTCCTTCTCTCCTCGCTGCACACACAACAGCTTATCACCCTCCCAGTCCACCGTGGTCTACAACACACAATGAACACACTAAGTAAATTCCCCAAACAAAGACATACAGCCAACAACATAACCGACAGTCATCACATTCACTACACAAGAAATAATCTTAACAAAAGGACACACACAATACATATTATACCACAGCATACCACCTGTGAAGTTTTCCCACGCTACGGGGGCAATTAAGCAATAAACAAGCACACACACACACCTGGCACTTTCTCCCGTCGACAGGTCCCAGGTCCTCAGTAAACTCCTTGCCCAGCATGAAGTCCATGTCAAAGTTTTTGAATGTGGTCATGGTCTTGATCTTCATGTGGCCTGTGTTGGCGTCATGCTCAATTTGCTTACTGGGCTTCAGCATGCACACAACCTTCCTCAGAGCAAAATTAACATCTACAGAGAGAGAAAGAGGGCCTGTTATCTCAGATGTGCAGCTGGTGAGAGATTAAAAGTGGGGTTTTAGATTTAGCAGTAATGAACATTCAGACACCATGAAACACAATTTGTGGGTGCACTCATATAGTGATGCAAAACTCATAAGCCAGTCATGATAATCCTTATTTCCTGATGCTGATACTTTAGAATGGTTACTTTCAACCATAAATATGGATGATAACAGGTCAGAGTAAACCAGACGAAGGCCGTCTACGTACAGTCATAACCAGGTCCACTCGTCTAGACCATGTAACCGACACGTTGGAAACTATAACCAACACAGAACCATCCACAGTCCTAGTTAAAAGTGACCTTTGTATAGTATCAGCATCAGGAGATAAAGATTATCATTACTGACTCGTGATTTTCATATCACTGCATCCTCATGAATGATAATGTCCCTCCATTGTTTCTCCACAATGACTGCAGGACTGTTACTCTTCACTTTCAAAAGAGACTTTGTAATCTTTTTTTCTTGGGGGGGGGGTCTTCCAGAAAGTACTCAACATCAATCTGTGCATACTCCAACCCTAACATGATGGTTACCTGCACAGGTGAGCTACAGAGTCCAGTATGGAGCTCCAGATTCGAGGAGCAGCCTCTGGGAATCTCCACACTGGAAATGTAACACTCTTCAGCCAGGAGAAGGATACTGATGTAGTAGGAGATGAGCTCATACCACAGGAATGAAGAGAAAGAGAGGGATCAGGAGAAACAAAGAAAGAGAGCACACTTACCTAAAGCAGCAAGATAGGCCTCGAAGTTTTCCTGAGACACCATGTGGTAAAGTCCAGAGTAGTTGGGTTTGGACATCTTTGCTTTTCTGTGTTTCTCTCCCTGTGATGAATGTCTTACTAACTCTCCCTCCGTGCGCTGTTTCTTTGTTGTTGTTCTGCGCAGATTAGCACATCCTATATACTGTGACTATAACGTTAACGCGCAAGCACCGACAGCTTCTGGACGGAACGGACGCTGAACTGAACGGAGGACCGGACCGGCTCACCGGAACTTCTCTTTCTTTCTCTTTCTCTCTCTCTCTCTCTCTCTCTCTCTCTCTCTCTCTCTTAACCCCCTCTCTGCCGAGCCCTACGCCCTCACACCCGCGCTGACACTGCGGGTGAAGTCCGCAATCTCGCTTTTCTGTTGTGAGGATTTGCAGTAATCCGTTTTCTGATTCTTCTCAGCGCTGGTGCAGCGGTCAGTCAGGGGGTCAAACCTGCTGCGTCTCAATATGTAGAAGCAAAGCACTGGGGCCACAAGTCCCACCCCTCCAGCTACACCCCCACCCCAAGTACCCTCCCCCGGGCATCATGCCAAGGTTCTGTGTGCACTGAGAAGTGCAGGGATAGAGACAGTGAAGCAGACTAAAACTGGCCATCTTTGTGCTTTTTCACATTCATGAAACTTGTGGTCCAACATTAAAAGATGAATATGAAACTACAGCTTTTATGGAGCTTTTAATCTACACTTCTAATCTTCGCATAGTTTCTCAGTTTTAGCTGAACACAAGTAATACATGTGAAGGAAAAGGGTTTTCCCCTTACTTGTGACATTTGTTGCTTTTCTTTCTGGGTCATATTTTTAAGTTAAACTGTATTTCACTACTGGGTTTAGCATAATTATTTGAGCAATGGATAACAGTTTGAACTGAACCCAAAAGAAAAGTCTTTCTTAAGTTGCTTAAAATCACCTTTTCTTTCTTTTGAGAGAATATCTTAGTATTGGACTAATGAAGTATCACTGCTTTCTGTAGGAGAGATTAACAGAAACTTTTAACTGTTTGAAGTTCTGGAGACAAACAAGAAAAGCCAGAGGTCTCCTGCTACACTGATGTGCTGCTTCAAGATATCTAAGATGTAGACTAGAGCTATAAAAGTACATGATGAAATCTTACTTCTCTCTTCTAACTCAAATATTATTTAGTGCAGACCTGGGTGAGATGAGTTAGACACAAAATAGTTTAGCTATCTGTGAGGCAGCGTAGTTTGGTTTTAGATTGAATTGAGCTGATGTTTTTGCCTAAGATAACTCAAAAACTGTTTTTCAGAAGATGAAATCACTGTCTAACACTGATTTCAAACAGGACTTAACTGTGTCTAGGAGAAGATCTTATTCAGGTTATTTCTTTGCTCTGAGAAGTACTCCACATGGGGCGTTTGACTAGTAAATCTGGTTCGGAGATGAAAGACTTGTGCCAAATGATGGCAAGGATGATAAGATGGCAATCAGTGAAACAGTTAGATCTATTTGACATAATTAAATCAGTGTAATTTGAATAGAACAAATTTAGTTAGTGTTCTCCTCCGAGCACTTTGAGCTGTCTAATGGAGTAGCAAGTGCTAGCCCTCACCTTCCCAGCTTGATAGCATCATATGATAGTGGCAATGGCTCAATTTTTTTAAAATAATATTAAATAAATAATAATAACAACCAGTTTTAATTCACTGTCCCAATATTTATGCTACTCCCTGAATCGTCTGTGCAAATTATACCCCATCACAGATGAAGTGTGGAAGGATCAGTCAGTGAACTTCAATGGCCACAGCATGTTCAAGAAACACTTTATTTAAAATGAGAACTGCATAGAGGGCAAATCTGTAGGAATCAATTCATGTCAAAGTTTACAGTGTCATTTTGGAGGCAAGCAATAAATCATCTGCACCAGAGCCTGAAATCAAACGCTGAATTGGTAAGAAAACAGATTCCTTTTTTGAAACATGTTTTTCTTCCACAATAGCAGGCTCAGGTAATTTAAAAACATAGATGGTTCATGTTAAAATGTAAAAAACGGCTATACAAATTATTTTTATTCTCTGGTTTTATCGTTTTCTCACAGAGCCACTCTTCTTCTCTTCCGATTTTTGCTTTTTGACATCTTTCTTTCCCTTTGCTCCCAGATTCTCATACGTGTCTTCCTTATTCCTGTGGAGAAACAAAAACATCAAAGCATATGTAGTTAGTATTAAGATTTTAGATTTCACTAAATTCACCCACTGTCTGGAAACTTAAAACCTATGGTGTATATAGATCTGTCTGTGGATAACAAAATATTAGAAACCGCAGTTAAGAAAGCTCATTATTCTGTAGTGAAGAACTTTCTCACACTAATAGCCTGTCCAATATGTTTCTGTTACAAAGACACCCAAAGCACTGTCAATCTACAAATTGTTCTAAAACTTTTTAGTTACAACTTAAACAACTCTCAAAATTATATGCTTTCTATACACTGAAGCCTTTCATTCTCTCCAGTTTTTTTCCTGAGCTTGCTCAGAGTTTGCATGGATTAGTGTTTAAATGTGTGTGTTTTGAAATGCACACATGCATGGCCTCATTTGCTCCAACCTATGACCCCACACTCCAGGCTTAGTTTTCATGTGTTTGCTGCTTTTGTGTTTCACCTATATAGGGCCAGTTACAGCTAAACATTATAGGAACAACTGTGATATTTTCAGCATAAAACTTTTATTTCATAATGACTAAGAAAGCTGTAAAACATCGAGAACGAATTTATAATAAAACTAACATCCTGAATGCCTTGTATTTAAAGGTGGTAATCACATCTCATGATAGACAAATTGACAAAAATTATTGTAAATAGATAGAGTGTAGAATTGACAGTACATCATTAAAAATTTATTACATTAAACTAAAACATTCTTTCTGCTATATAGATAAAAATATTTAAATTTACATTTTAAAAGTATTATTTATTTATTATTGTATATAATCAAATATATATTATTGTATGTAAATTAAGGCAATAAATATGACAAGTGAGGCCAAACATTTGTGTATAATTTGGACAGTGATGTAGAGCACTAGAATTATACTCATGCCTGAGCTTTCTCATATTCATGCTCACATGGAGCTTGAAACTCGGCTTGTTCTCAGTATGATGCCGGTATTTTCTAAACAATGAATGCCGGGGAAGGAGGGGCTGTGTCCGAGGGCTGAGGGTCATTCATAGGTCAGCAAGCACAACTGAAGAACACCCTAAAGAAACACCACAAAGCCCCGGCATGAACCTCCGTCATCCAGACCCAGCTACAGCTCCATCGTACAGATGATGAGGCTGCCTGTTATCAACCAGATTTGAGTGCTAGTGTTACTATAAAAACAAATACTGTATGCAAAATACATTTACAAAACTAGAACAGCACGATAAAATAATATTTTCACCCTTATTTGTACAACTGTATAGGTTTATCTGTGAAGACACTGGAATGAAGCCTCAACCTATTTTGTGTAGTGTTCAGCCAGTCAGCATATTTTTGCTTCTAGAGGAACAGTCCACTTCCCCCCACTTGAAACTGTTTAAAACATGTTCCAAGAAGGACAGCAGCTGCTCTGGACAGAGCTGGAGCTGAATTCCACACTGCTGCTGTATGTATACATTGAGAGGCTTTTGCATTATGTTGTCCACATTCATGCTCACCTGGACCTTTGTACCTGTCTGACTGCTGCATGTTTGAGGTAACATGAGGTAAAACATCACTCTGAGGTAAAGTGAAGTCTTTGCTCCAAATCAATCAGTAAATCACTAGAAAATCTCACTCCCTCAGAGAAGTATGGACACTTTCTTAAAGACCCACCAGGAGTTCAAATTATGGCCATGCTCAAAATGATGTGAGGCTAGTCAATAACAGTCACATTTGTTTGGCTCCTGTCACTCAAAGATCATTAAAATCTATGCTTCACTGTATGCCTAAAAGTATCCAGACATTCCTTCTAATAATTTTATTCAGATACTTTAAGGCACACATATTGAATACACAGTATTGTGTACACACAGCCATGTAATCTCCATAGAGAAGCATTAGAATGGCAGGAGGCAGTAGAATGGGATGCTCTTGAGCAGGTGCATACAAGCCTAAGATTACCATGCAAGATGCTAAGCATCAGAAGAGTCTAACACTCCATGGCATTAGACTGTGGAGCATTCTTGGAGTGACAAAACACCATTAAAAACTCTTGGGATTAGTGGTCGTGGCGTCTGTGAGCAAAACCTGAATTGCCCAACATCAGGACCTGGCCTCACTAATGCTCTTGTGCAGAACGGAATGAAATCCTAAAAGCATAATGTCGTAAAATCTAGTGGAAAACTTCCCCTGAGGAGCAGAGGCTTTTGCAGGTAGTGATTGGAGATCTTCTTTGCTCACATTTCGTTTATCTTTTATGTAAATTCATATATTTTAGCCATCTTAATAATAAATCATTTTAAAAACACCTTTGTAATGAAAACGCTGGAGTATGAAGGACTGCAAGCTGTCTGAGTGCAGTACTGGTGACCTCTCTTCAGTATGGCCTATGCATGCCTGTTCTAGTTGGCAAAAAATCACATACAGGCCAGCGGCCATATTACAGAAGCTTCCTCTCATTTTGTCTCAAAGGTAAGATCTGACAGGTCAAGATGAGATTTTTCACAAATTCGTATTTCAGAAGCAAATCTTAATTTAGGAATTTAATCTCACAGCATCTTATCTCAAGTTAGGAAATTTTATCCTACTTGATCAAAGTCGACAATCAACATGTTTGTCATTTTTTCATTTTTGTTATCAAGCAACGGATTATCTGCACACAGCTGAAACGTAAACACGTAATTGAAATTTATGAAATTCAGAGTTAGAAAAAAAATCTCACGAGCGAAACCACTGTTTTGCAATATAAATAAATGTTATGTCATTATGCTAGTAGTGAACTATGCTGCCTGTGACAGTTGCCTAAAAATAATAGAAACAGACAGTTAAAACAGAAGTTAGGACTTCCCTGGGGTTGTCTTAAAGTTAGGACGGTATTTAGAGAATTTTGTCTAGTTAGGAAGTTTACTGTAATACTGTTTTCTTATCTGGAGTTTGGGTAAGATTATGAACTTAAGAACTGTTGTTCTGTAATAGCTACTGTTCTAAATTCTGTCCTAACTAAGGTTGTCATACAGCCCCAGAAGACTAAAAGTCATTCATTAGATTTCCATTCTTTCTAAAGAGACTTAAAGATTTAAGGACTCATGCCGTTCTTTGTAATGCTTACAGAATAACTGTTCTCTCTCTCTCTCTCTCTCCGTCTCCTCTTCTAATTTCAGCTTGCTGATTTCTTACTTTAAGCTTTTGCCTTTGTTAAGCCTTTACATGTGAAGCTTTGTGTGTTTGTGTGAACGTGTTAGCCTGATGAGACTGTTTTACTCCATTGTTTTTCATTCTCTTAACTATATTTCATTTTTTATGCTCCTGTAATCCTGAAA